TTAATTTGAAGGCGCGCTGTGCACCGATGGTATCATGAGGACCGGCGTGCCAGCGTCCAGGCGTAAATACATTGCAAGCGTCTAACGTCTTCTTTACATAACTAACTATAAATTAGATTTAGACCTAAACTTCTATATACCTACTCGTAGTATCATATTGAGTACAAATATATTATTACCTACTACTACTTACAAAACCACGTGTATTTAGAAACAGTCAGAAACAGCACCTAACACAATTTATAATGTACAAAATAAAACTTACAAAAGCAAGTGATACAGTAAGAAATTCTTACTGGAAACTACAATGTCAAGTGCAACTTAGACATTTCTTTATTGCTTGGGACAATGGAGATATTGTAAATTAATTTATAAGTTTTTTCACCCGTTGTTGACGCGAATCTTGATTAATCCACAACTGTTTGTGAATTTGTTTTATGTGAGTTTTAATTTTGTTCTTTGTAATAGTAATAAACACTGGCGAGACAATGTGGCGAGGGCTGTCGGCCGCGGCAGCGCGGATCAAAGGTGCCGAGATGAATATCACCGCAGCGGCGCAGGCGCAGGTCGAGGCCCACGCCCCTATTTTTTATACATTTTTTAACAGCTTTGCTTCTTATCTCTACATGCGGAGTACCTTTCCTTATTGTATGGCTATTACGATAAATATAGTAATATGTATATATCCGCATTTAGTATTGGACCAAGTATCTTAAAGTATCTTCTCTATGTGAATAGGTACAAAATATGAACAATAAACATAACAACTAACAGACAATTACAGATTTCGATAAAGTTATGCGAACTTGCCAAATATGTTCCATTTGACAATGGTCTAGATCTGTATACAATGCGTTCATAATCACAACGCCAAAGCGCTCGATTTTTTTCACGTAAAAGCTCGAAATTGCAAAGTTGCGACTGCAATAATGGCACGTGACGCAATAGGAGGTGGCGGCTTTGATGTCCGCTTTGTACCGGTAATGGATCGCCGTCGGCTGAGTTGTCGCCAGTGAAGTCGCCGCCCAGGAGCACCGACAAAGCGCGAGCGGTAGCTCAAAGCTATTGATATCATTTAAATCCCTTTTGATGCACGCCGACACGTTACACCGCTTGCATCCCTGTGGGAACCGAGGGTAACTTTTATTTGAGCCAACCCCTATCTGTTTCCTTATTAACTAGTTAACTTGCCGAGAAATTGATTTATAATTTTGTGGTTGCATTGTCGCCTTTCATAAATTATAATTACTATATACTACTATGCTTTGAAAAAGTTTAGATTGAAACTAAACTTTCTTGTATACCTAATTTATATGTTATTTTCTAGCTGCTTGATCAACGTCTTCGATTCCTGTCGCCTCCATAAGGCGATTTCAGCCGTAAATCTCTTCGACTCAAACCTATTATTAAAATCGAATTTCGTGGAGCGTTATATAATACTAATAATCACACTTCGTAGCTATTAAGACGGAATCACTTTTTGAGAGCGGCCGACATGGGAGAGAACAGGTTCTTGATATAAAGAAAAAGAAGCGATCGCACCGCGAGAGAGGGTCGACGGAGGTACGTAATCGTACGTTATTATTTCTTTGAAGTACCGACCAGCAATGCCGGGGCTTACTACAAACTGCGCCCGCGCTGCCCTCCGGCGATCCCACACCATCAGCGTCGCGGGTAAAAATTCTTTCATTAAATGTGCCTTAAATTTAAATTAAACTGCATTCGAGGAAGTGATTCAATCTCACACAAGTAATCAATGATGCATTTTTAAATGATCTATTCGTAACCTGCTATACGTAAATCTAACTATGTTTTCAAATCATTGAAGCGAAACCCAATGTTTTGCTTATTCACTGGGGAAACTCAAAATAGTAGAACAAAACAGCAATAGTTGCGTAAGATTCGCATAAGTGATGGCTCGGTGTAGAGATTCAAGATTTTTCATCATTATTCTGAATATCCTTATTATCTGGCATGTTTTTGATGAAAATATTCGTGCGTGAGTGGGCATAGCCCACGCGGAGAGCCGGTGACCGCGACTGGCGGCGTGCCAGCCAACTGAATAGCAGAAATAACGCCACTATCAACATTCCAGGTCACTTCATACGATTATCTTTTTATTAAAAGTATGCCATTTAAATTTTATCTTCCCAGAATACATTTGCTTTTAATATTTTTACACGCATAGCTGTAATTATAATATTGTGGTAGAGTTGTTTACGTTCAATTATTTCTAAAATCAAAATAGCGATATATGAGGGTGGTCTCAAAAACATACGAGAAAACCACACACGCACTTCACTATTGTGCAAGTTTAAACTACAGCAGTTAACTTGCTTGTTAAGTTTTATTGAGAAGGAGTGCAGCAGTTTATCGATGATAATACGATTATGGACTGGCAATCTACACTATTTCGTGGAATACGCCACCCACGTTGAGTCCGCCGAAACTTCTACTCGAGCGCCATGGCCATTTCGTTGCGACATTCAATTGATGCCTTTATTCCAATGAATATTTGGCCGATTACATAAAAACTCCGAGTTCCTAGTTTGTAGCAACGAAAATAAAATAATTCGACAGGCTCGATTCCTAAAAACTCGAGGAGCAGATGTGAACATTCGAACGAGATTAACCAATTTACCGTCTACCAGAAGAATTCTTTATTACCAACATAAAACACTGTTTGTTGTAGTCCGTTTTGGAATACGACCTCATCTCGGTCGCAGATAACTCCTCGACAATAAACCTAACACGAAGAGGCCGTAAAATTCTAATTCGAAGCGCCTCCCCCCTTCCGGCTCTCGGCGCAATCCGGGCAGGACCGCGCTATGCCTACCACCAACGCTTTCGGATCCACTGGGATTCGTTAACAGATTCCTAGAAAATGTTAACAATGGATTAAATTCACATTTAGTGTCCAGTTTCAAATGAGCGAGATAGAGCACGCACTGGACGCAAGCTTATATAATTCATAAAAGGTTTCATTCTGCAAATGTGTAAAACCCCATTTTATTTAAAAAAAAGGTTTAGTTGAGCTTCGCAGTTTTAGTGGTCCCACGAGGAGCCGAGGAGCTTAAGTAGGTAAAATAGAAAGATCAAAACAAGCAAAATTGAAAATGGAAGAATGTTCTGTATATTATATTTTGTTCAGTAACGAGCTGCAAGACGAACTCTAATTGATTTCATTTACATTTTTGTTCTCCCGATTTTAAAGTGTTTGCCATAGTGGTTAGTAGACTCAGATTTGTCGAGTTTATATAGTAGATGTGTTTTCTAACTCGAAAGCAAATATGAGAACGGCTACCTGAATTTCTAACCACTAACGAACGTTAAAGTTATTAGGATAGTTTTTAGTAGCTGAGATTTCGTTTTTACAATCGTTTTGTTTCATTAATTTACTTTTATAAACGTAAATGTACGTTTGTATTACAGTCGTGATATTCTGAATTATATAACCAGGTATGCATAAGATGACATAATAAAAAAGAGGTAACAATTAGTGTTTGTATGGGTGTTATACAGTGGGTTGATACTTATGTATAAATTTAATCTAAAGTTATATCACGTGCTTCCCAAAATGCTCTGATAGTCGCAAAAGGTATCAAACAAAATGAACCTCCCTTGTTTCCAGAGATTTCGTAAAGTTTCCCAATGGAACAACATACCGGGAGAGCTCAGTAACTAGGTATCTACTTTCATAATCTTTTTTGTAATCGCCAGCACGGGTCGTCGACCGGAGGCTGTAGCAACTAGCGGACCTATGCGCGTGCGCTTCCATTATGGCTCTCTTGGTGCTTAGTACTGAGCACTTTCTTCGCACATAACTACCGACATGGTAATCGTTACATAACTGTAATGAAAAAGGTTGGAAGGGACAGACAATTTTATAACATGTCACATTAATTACTAATACGAAAATTGATTGATATGGAGTATATATTATGTGATACGGTGGATACAGAAAAAAAACATTTTTTAAGAGTTTCCACAAAAGACGTGAATGACAACGTCTCTAGTTATGTAACTTTTTTGTCCTTAGAAAAGACATCAAGGCGATCGACAGCGTACCGATGTAGTAGGCTAGACTGATCGATGATTATATATTGTTTGAACATTTGACAACTGCCATCTCTTATTTACTACAGGTAAACAGCTATCTAAGTTCTTAGGATATTTGGAAATGTCAAACGACCTTAGTGCTGGACCGGGTCACATTTTCCAAAGCCAATATATGTACATTTTCTACATTTCATGTTATTGCTGGTATTGTTTCATATAAAGTCGTAACAAATATAATTGGTCATATATTGACATTTCAAATGAGCGTAAGTTTATTCCGAAACCATATGTCATTAATTACTTACAGTAAGGGTTTATAAACTGTCTAAAGCAACCATCTGGGCAACTTCCACCGGGTGTATCAGTTTTATCACTAACAATAACCTATCACACTCTGATGAAGTCATTTATAGTCACAAATAATCTATTAATATAATCATTGTAAATAATTAACATTATCCTTGCATATTTTTTTTTAATAGGCGCAACGAAAATAATTATGTCGTACCTACCTCTTTAAAACTACTTAATGATAAGAACCCTAATTTTAAGGTATTTTAATGACCTAAACATTGATATTTGTTGCGGACTTAGTATAAACCGTATCTAACACCAGAAGTAATTAAGATCAAAGGTGCAAGCCAACGGTTGAGGCTCGGTATTTTTGCTGCCAAGTGTATCTTTCTGTGACTATGGTTCATCATATGTCAAAACTAGCAAGAAGCATAATGGTTGATCTCAGAGAGAATCACAAAACCGTGCGCCGTTGTCGATCGTGGCCGGGTAACCGTCTCGCCTGCCGCCTGGCGCGGCGCGTGCTCGTTCGACGCCACAGTGCCGCGCGGCTGTGCCGGCAGTGTTCCCGCGGCTCGGCCCTCCCCGCCACACCGCACCCTCCTCCTTTCCTTCCCTTCTCCTCTCCATCCATCAGTCAGTCACTCGGCGACACGCACGTGGGATAGTCGCTCGCTTCGTCTCCGCACTACAAGTTCACGCGGACAACTAGGTCACTGTTTTCGTGGTGCCACTTACGAAGAAACTTACACATCTAGTGTTGTGAATGGTTCAAGTGACAGCGAATTGAGATTATTCGCAGTGAAATAACAAACCAGCGGCCCTTTTGAAGTGTGCGGGATGCTTGCGTGAGCGCAGCGCATGACGTGCTACGAAACGCTGAGAGCTCCGGCACCCGCCGCAGACGCCCCCATGGCGCACCACTTCGTCAAGTGGTGGCGCAACAAGTTTAGAAATGGATACAAAAAGTTCAGCAGTAAGTAAACTTACCTCTTCTGCATATTTACTGTCAGTAAACAACTCTATTGCTGAAGGCCACTACCCACACAACACTGGTAAATTAACTTCAAATACGTACAACCAAAACGAAGGTATTCCTTATGCTAAAACTAGGCAGTAAACAAGAATTCAAACTGAAAAGAATTCAAACTGAAACAACCAAAACACAAATGGTCTTGCGCTAGTCAGTAACCAATAAGAATAATTTCACTGGCAGATAACAATACACAAGTCATAGTATGTGCCAGCCTATACTATAATATCTATATAATATCTAGCGCCAGTGTTTGGCCAAATTCCCCAATTTATAACTAATGGAGTGACTTGTGGTGACGACACGACCTTAAAATCGATGAATGAATTAGTTTTTGTGGTGCATTTTGTTTTTATTTTCCTTTAAAATCTTATGGTTTATAAGTCTGCATTATTGTATTATGACTAGCAAAAAAATGCGCTTGGTAAATTAAGAGTTTGACCTTTATCGTCTTGTATTTTTTTAAATCATATTTTACTGTGTAGTTTTAATCCTATGTCGATTTGCCTTGTTTATATGTTTATATGCACATTGTTAAAGTATATAAGAGAATCTGTTTTTGTAAACAATGGCTTAGTTGACTCAGTTTTACTTCTGCAGATACATATTGGTTATTCTTTACAGTATTAACTTTATTTCTGTAATTAACTTCGAAAGCTTGCTAATAGTTATGGAAATATTAACTAACTGCCAACCGTCAACTCCACGGCCTACGTCTACACTCTACAACCCAATTACCTATCCGTGTACACAACTGCGTACGTGGTTCGTTCCACAACTAAATTTTATCTCTTAGTTGTCCGTTATCAAAATATTCGTTGCGAGATCAAACGCGCCGCCGCCATCCGCAGCAACAAGAAAAAAGAAAACAAAAAATCACAGCGGGAGGTTAATGTGAGACACAGCTAAAGGCCTGTCTCCATGCTCGAACTTCATCGCGAGTAAACTTGCGCAGTTTATTGGAACGTGTGGACGGGAAAACTGTACCTCATGCAAGCCGACCATACAACTTGATGAATCGATGCAATGCCGACAATTTTACTTGCGCAAACTCGGTGCGTGCAGTTTTAATTGGAGAGCGCGTTGGACAGTGTTCAAGACGCGTTGTCAGTAGGTACTTGTTGTGGCTATTAAATTACTCTGATAATAGACTAATCATTTTAGTCGAAATCCGAATAGATTGTTATGAAATTGTTAAAAAAATATTTGTTTATGCGTTCCTCTTTAAAAAAAAAACATTTTTTACCTTAGTCCAATTATTCATTAAATATTAGATTTAACTTCTTGAAAGGAAAAGAAAGGTAAAACACCGCACTGTCAAACAAAATGAAAAACGTTATGTACTACCGTGAGATATACCTAACATCAAAGGAAATCGCTTTAAAATTCAAATAGCGGGCGCTTAATAATAGGTTATTAACCGGCATAATCGATTATCCGATAATCAAAACACTTGAATCGAAATCACTTGCCCAATCTTGCTTGACACATGTGATCACTACTTCGTCTTAGCAAATTTACTTGACCATGTAGCCAGACCTTAAGAACCTGTCAGAATTACTCACGTTTCTTTTAATAAAATGCCGACGCCAGAATAGGTATAACATAGCCTCGATTATGTTAATTCACGTAAGTGGGTAGCGCATTTGTGGCGTCGTCGTCGGTCGTTGTTTTCGTACCATTCACACGTTAGGAACGTCTACAAATGTGCGCGCTTAAAACCAAAATAGTCGCTTACAAATTACACGGCGTAGTGGCACAAAGTCGATTTCGAAACAATCGCTTAACCTTCATAAAATTTGAAACTTCCGCTCTCTCGAAACGAGACTGCCCACCTAATCATACTTCAAAGTGGACAGCGACGCTTTGATCTCGTTCTATTTAGTTACGAAATATACGTAAAGCTGAACACTTCAATTAGAATACTACAGCTACATCTTTCATTTTAAAAATGTGCGAGAAGCGCACATCAAACTCGTGATGCTTGAGTTTGTTAATACAGTTTTAGATGCAAACCGAGTCGCGCGCGCCGCTCATTTGATTAACTTCAAAGAGAAAAGTTGAAAGCTCGTCGCCGAAGCGGAGACAATGATACCTTTTATTTAACATCAAAGAAATCCCCGCCCCTGGCTTTAAGCTCAGTTTTGACGTATCTCGTACTAAACGCTATAATACTTACATATAGCACCCAACAATTTATAGTAACCTAGCAGACACAAAGAACCTTTTCGGAGATGCTGGGCCTTTGTTGCATAATTTAAGATCCTCCGTGCAACCGTCATTGTTGCAGAGTACGAAGAATTGTCTCCTTTCAAGCGAAGTAAATTTTAAAAAAATCAAGCTCCTTTTGTAGAATATTTAAAGATGTATCTATCTAGTCTTAACAAATGACAATCTGCCCTTAATGGTTGACCCTAATTGGTATTTAGTTCGTATTGGTATTGCTCCTACGCTTAATAGACTCGACATAAGTGAACTTGGCAACTCAGTAAAGAAAAATCTCACGCTGTACTCTCCTCGACGCACTAGTGCTCAGAAGCGGTAATCCATTTAACATGCTACTAGGGATTTACTGCAGAGTTTACAAATGGATGGATTACGATAAACTCTTGATAAATCTACCACGTGGTCAAGCCTGACTCGCGTCACCCTGACTCGTTTGTACGGCTTTCATATATTAGTAGATTTGATCCCTTGTTTTTGGTCACATTTCTTTAACCATCGTTTTTAACTATAAAACGTGTTTTAAATTCTTCGTAAATTTTAGCTTTTAATAAAATAAACTGCTAAATCGATTGTGAACGAAGATTCTGTAGTAAATCGTTTGTTTTATTTTTTAAACGCATTGATTTTACCTAAATATTCTCGAGCATTCCTAATGCCCAATACCATCCCGCTTTACACTAGAAATGATCAGGAATGGATGGTTCTTTTGAGAAAAATAACATTAGCGACAGATGTGGATCCCAAAGTATTTGAGCCTATCGGCGGGCGGGCCTTCCAGGAAACTAACTCACTGTGCCGGTAACACCGGCCCCGCTGTTCTTTTTGAGCTTCGCCGACGACTTGTTAGGGTATTTCGTTGTATTTTTCTTGTTATTTGTGCATTGTACTTTTTTTACCTTTATTTCAATAACAACGTACGGAGTATGTACGGTTTGATGTGGTAATTGTTACAAATAAAACACGCAAAAATTTTAATTACTTACGTTCAAGTTGTCAGAACCTACCTGTTGTAAATAGGATAATCGATAGATAATAATTATTGCAAGTCGAGCAAATCACAATGGACAAAACGACTAAACTGTTCTACTTACTGTATTTATACTTATAAGCGGTAGATAGGTACATAAATAGGGACGTAGGATAAAATTGTCAACGCGGCTAATTCTAAAACATCGACAAATCGCTGAATCAGTCGGCATCAAATTAACGAAAAAAAATAAATAGAACAATTCATTATCTAGACGGGCTTTGGCATATAGATTACAAATTTGGAGCACAGATTACAAAACTTGAAACATTTTAATGCGACAGGGTTATCTCTTACATGCCGCTTTTCATTTATATACCGCAGGCGGCATATTTACACATTAAATGGAAATCCTGCAATTGAAAATAAGGTTGGCGGCAATGTAAAAAAGACTAATGTATGTAGGTTACGGACAAATCAAAGCGAGACAACATAACACACAGGCGTTCGTTGTGTGTGATATTTTCTCGCTTCACAAAGTATCACGTTAAATTCGACTGTGATCGACATGACGTCACAACACAATAAATGTATATACTTACTAGAAGTTTTTCTTTTCAGTCGGCACGGAAAGTGAACGCACAGACACCGAAGAACTGGTTGGTCGTGCAGCGTCACAGTGCTCCGCACCACCAGATCTGCTGCCCAGCGAAGCGCGAGCACTGCTGCAGCCAACCGCGTCCTCGCCGCGAGTCTCTCGGCCTTCTCACGAGCCAATATACAAGAGGCCTCCTTCACCGGTGCAGTTGCAAAATCAGCACGATGACAAACCTAAACTACGGTTTGAGGTAAGAAAAAACACTTGACATGAAGATCTGAATTCCTTAGTAGCTAGCTGTTACTGTTTCTCGTGTTGACAAAAATACTGGACAAGATTATACATAATCAATAGAAGATACAGCAGATATAAAATAAAAAAACCCTAGATACAGATAAAACAGTTCTTCGATAAAAACATGAAAGCCATTCGGTAAGTGCTAGTAACATTGTTATGTGGAATGTCTTTAAGTACGCTGTAACAATGTTAGAACTAAACATACAACTTCTGGACTACTTACTACTTTATTGAAACATTTATTTATTTATGTACAGGGTCAAGAGCACGGAAGCTTGGCTCTTAAGACTTAAATTCAACTCTATGCGCCCGTTACGATAAGAAAGGTCCAAAGTCGAAAAGTGTCAAGTTTGACTGCATTCAACTTTCTCAGAATATCCAAAATTACTGATAAATTTGCACCATCACAAATTGTGTAAGGCTGCCATGACGCTGGAACCAGTTGTGAATGAGGAGATAGAAAGTATGATTACAGTGTAGATAACCAGCATCCACCTCTGCACCTATTTTAAACCGTGACTCGAGGTTTTAATCTTTATTTTCATCAACTTAACTATCTTAGAGGCACGGCATCGGTAGTTGCTAAAGCAACGAGTGGGTTGATATTAGCTAAATAATTGATTATAAAGACTTACTTCGAATCTTTAGTCATTTGAGTGGGCTCGGCGTAAGTTTGATAAATCGCTGTCTGTTTGGCAATTTAATTATGTATTACGTACGAGCCGCATAGCGGCTCGCCTTTGGTGTATCATACCTAACTCACGGGTCGTAAATGCGCGGCTAGTTTCCTTTTAAAGTGCGAGATAAGGCCGGCTGCCGCCGCCGCGTCCGTCTGCCGACGGCGGCGGCGGCGCACACCCGCCGGGTTATCTGCTATACCTACGCTTATACACATAAATACTTACAATTACCGCCACAGCGCTATAATCCGAAACGAACTGGAGCTTAGATCCTAATGCCATGTTAAGTAGTTTTACAGATGCGTGGTCACGTACACAAACGTATCATCACAAACATTTGTACTTACCCACACCCTAAACATATAGAACCCGTTAACCGTCTTATGGCCACTGACCGACTTATTTTATAAACGATAAATAATCGAGGTCAATTCTATAAACAGAGATCGCCGCATTATCTCATATTCATTCATAAATAGTTGATAGCATGACCCGCATGATCTCACCGGGCATCTCGCGAACCTTTAACTGTTGTATTAATATATTCAGTGTTATTTACCTTTTTAGGAGCTGACATGTGACGTAGAGCTGCAGCACCCAGAGCCATCGAAACAACAACCTCTACAATTCTCATTTACACTCTACGACCTCGATGGCCATGGACGTATGACTAAAGACGTAAGTCTTATTTTCGTCAAAACAATGTATCTCTTCGTTTTAAAATTGTTATTTCAGCTTTCTGATGATTTTTCTTATTTTCATTTGTTTCTTATTTCTTTACAGGATATAGCGGGTATAGTATCGACAATATACGAGTCGATTGGCAAGTCGGTCACAGTACCACATTACGGCTCCAAAACAATACAAGTGCGGTTAACGGTAGTGCCGGATGACGGGACCGCACGGAGCCAACGGGAGAGGCGCGAGGGGAGGCGACGGCGGAGAAAAGAGCAACCTAGTGTCGTCACAGCCACGCACGAAAGCGTAGAGCAAACCGACGACGAGCAAAGAGAGCGGCTTTCACCTGATGAAGACGTGTCTTCAAAGTCTTCATGCTCCGGCGATCGTAGACAGCCGCAACGCCCCCAACCCACCAATCATCGCCCTCACCGACACCCTCGCCGGGAGCACCGCGAGCGTAGACACATGAAAAAACGATCTGGAAGCTTACAACGACGTGAACTACTCGAAATCATTCAGGCCAACATGGAAAAAAATCACCTGAGTTTTCAAGCATCGAGGTATGTATGGTTGTTTGTTGTTACGAACATGATTCTTGATCTCAATTTGTTGACTCATCTTTGGTTAGTATGAGTACGCTGCGCTTCGTATTTCAGTAACGTTAATTTTTAATTGCAGAAAGCCCAGTGAACCTATTGCCAACGAAGAAGAAATCACAAGTAAATACCAGAAGCTTCGAAACAGATCGTACACGGTCAGTGAGAAACCTTTGAATGCATTCCAAAAGTTGAAGGCCGAGAACACCGGGAACGGTTATCTGGACTTGGCCAGCGGTGGTGATTCAAATCTATGTAGGTACGATAGATACTTACACGCCGTGATATGCTCGTCGGCGCGGCATGCGCACACAGGATTTCATCAGAAACAAGCGCAGACACCACGGCCGGCGCGAGCTCACCACGCACAACACGTGCGCTCCAGGTCGCACGACCTACCTGCCCAGCCACACCAACAACCCAAAATCCTACAAATCATATTCTTATAGAATTTAAGAAAGGGCATTGTCGGCGACGGCATTGTCCTCTTCACTTGCTGACTGCTTAAGTGTGTGCGAGTTACAAATTCAAAGTGTAATGAATTGTTAGTTACCAAGCGCTGTAAAATCGATTGGCATGTAATGTAGTAAGAAAAAATTGTCAACAAATGAGTGTATAAGATTTACCTTAGTAATAATACTTTAGTCATTAATCAGTATTTATTGAAGACAGTATAATTATGTAATTACTCTGGATCTGGAAATGAATTTACGGCACAAAAATCTCATGTAAACTCTTATTTACATACCTATATTAAAATAAAACTGTATTTGTAAATGCAGAGCTTGGAAAAATGAATGTTTATAAAATTAAGAAGCGTGTTTTCGTAACTGACTGTAATTTGGGTGTTGTTTTATGTATTTGACCATGTTTCTTGTAAAAAGTGCCTTAGTTAACTAGCCGCAACCTTTTGCGTCTGGGTTTCTCTAGTACGCTAAGGATGTTCGCCAATGTGTACTTCATGTATACGGCTAGTTCTCAATGCTCAGTAGTTTATGTACCTTTACAATATTGTAAAACTCATTGTTGAGTTTAGACTGATTCTAGATGTAAGTGTTAGGTGCTCAGAAGAAAGTTTATATACATTGTTATGTGACACTTGATGTATGAAACGACTGTCAGTACTTAATTAAGAACACTGATTTTCTAGCCTGTCTATAATAACTTAGTATTGGAATATCGTAGGCAACTTTTGGATTAGCTCTTTTTATTGGAACATTTACTGTCAACGCATTACCAGTATCAGTATTCATTATTCTTAGAAAATTAATTGACATGAATCTCTCGATATTATTATCTACCTCTTAATTTACTTTCTTAGTGTTATTATTTATTATCAGCTGAATCCTAAAGTAATGTAATACTTCTTTTGTGATAATTTGGTAATGAAGTGTGTAATTATTTCACTCAAAGATATTTGTTCATTAGGTGTACAGTGTACAAAGTGCTCGATCTTGTCAAAAATATTTATTGTCAAATATAATCATCGGCATTAACATCGTATTTGATTTAATCCACTAACGATAACTAAGAGATCATTCTTATGGTTCTCCGGTTAATGTAGTATATAAGAAGAAATAGAAATGTTGCGGCTGTTATTGCGATGGTGATTTCTGAAGGTAGGCCGCATTTGTGTATGGTATATGCATCCGGTGATATAGACAGCTAGAAATAAAATTGCTTATGTGTACACATTTTAAACTAGGGAAATGGTTTAAATTGGATACACAGGTTATTACGGAAAGGGCATATAAATGTAAATAAAAAAGTGTTTATATATTTTACCCAATGCTGATCATCTGCCAGAAATATTTAAAAATACGACTAAAAGAAGCACTGTCAGAAAAATGTTCGTTGGAAGAATTTATTAATTTCAATTCGAAACAAATGTGTCCTTGCACTGGAAGTCATTAAACTTTATTCTTTTCCGCGTTCCAGTGCGCCTACAACCTAAATAGCACATACGTGCTGCAGCTACAGCAGACAACGGCGAGTGTTTAATGAAACGTAGGGCATTGAAAGCTTTACACCTTAATATCAACAGCCATTGTGCTTTAAGAACTTAAGCACGGCCAAAGTGATATTGATGCTGGTCGTCAACTCAGCGCGATGTTCTGCTAATCCGAACTGTTTCCTAAAATTCAGATGGTGCATGGAAAGAACCAGTGTGGTACAAGCGGTGTACCGTCCGCCTGAAACACGCCAGCAAAAGCAGCTAAGAAACGGGACAAACAAGTCGTGCGCCTGATCCATAACAGCTGGAGTACCTCACAAACATCAGAGGGGCACCACCACTGCGCCCGATATCCTGAGACATAAGTTGACAAGTCCCACGGGCCTGTAATTTCATCATAGTTGAGGAGCTTTGCCGAGGCACATATGCCTTCAATGAGCTACTGACGGATCAGAACCTACTTTATTGTAGTGGTAGATATTACTAATAACGTGAGCATTTAACAGAGTTGGTGCACTTGATATAGCTATATAGTGACGGGACGAACAAGTCGTACGCCTGCGGTAAGCGACACGGCTATCTATAACAGTTGCAGTGCCATTCAGAGCTTTAAATTACAAAGATCATATGAGTACCTACTGCCACTGCGCCCGCCACCCAGAGACATAAGTTAACAAGTCCCAACCCTTACCCTTCCAAACCGAAACACAGTAATGCTCACATTACTCTTGGCGGCAGAAATAGGAAAGGTACTTCCCTGGACGAACTCTCTCACAAATAGCTCTACTGCTACTTAAAATTGATACACCCCTTCCGTTAAACCATTTCTATATGACTAAATGTTAATGCCCAACCAAAAAGAAACAAGCTAACTCTACGGAAAACTAAAATGCTTAAAGGCACGGTATTATATCCTATCGATTTCATAGTAGCGTGGATGATAATAATGGTATATAATTACTAAACAAAGAAGTCACGTGAGGCTTACCAGCATGTACTTGGGATCAGGCCTGTTTGTCCACGAAAAAGACGGTACGGAGATCTCCCAAAAGTCTGCATCACTATATTTGTGATGGAGTCTGCATCCGTGATGTGTGTGACCTCCAATTGCGGCTCTGGGTTTCAATTTAGAAACGAGATAGTCCGTCGCTTCTTTAGATAATACATCTTTTTTCAATTTGAATTTAATTTTCTTCTCCCATGACGGTGCAGAATCTGGCTCCGTACACGGTTCATCAGATAATCGGTATAGAGGGAAGTGCTGCAATAAATAAACGTGTGTGAAAAAAGCTATTAAGACTTTTATTTAATAAAACTAAACATTTTATCTTGAAAATTACCTGCAAAAGTATTGGTCTACTATATTTCAGTTTCGGTGTCTGGTCTTGGGTCTGGCACTGGTCTTGATTTTCTGAACATTTTAACATGTCTAAAACATTACGTTAGGCCGCAATTATTTATTTAGTAAAAAAAAAACATAAACAATGAATGCAATGAAAAGTAATCCGAGTATCATACCTGAAATTTTATCTATTTCGATTCTGGCTTCAAGGCACAGGGAACAATTATCGCCTTCCATAGCCATCGAGTTCAAAAGAACGAAATGACTATCTTTTATTGTGAGAAACTGCACTGTTGAAACGTTAAACATTTTCCTAAATCTTTGTGGTCCATTTTCGTATCCCATTCTTTAACAAAAAAAACAATTGTATACGCCACAATCGAAATAACTAGTCGAAAATTTGGCATAGCTTAAATAAACCTAGCTTAGGATGCCTCATTCGCTTCATTCAGACAATTTGAGTAAAACATCTTGATTGAACTTAATTAAAGTCTAAGAAATTTAGATAAACCTAGTATCCATAGGTTCCCAAAGTGGTCGCTAACGCCCCCAGCGATCGCTGAAGACTCCTAGGTAGGGGCCTCGGAATCAATTGGGCGTTGATACTGTCCAGGGGATGCTTTTTTCTTAATGTTTAATTTGAAAAAAAAAACCTGAATTATCTGTATAAAGTACACTACAAATAGATTTTTTCCTTGTAATTTTTTGTGTTAAGCTTTAGCTTGTGTGCGTGTTTTAAATATATTTTTTGTGGTCGTGCGCGTAGAATTTATTTTATCTTGCCTCACCACCAAGTGAGTCAAAAAGTTTGGACACCTATGCACTAAATAATTACTTAGTCTACTTACTTGGGATGGAATCCAATATCATGGTTGCCAGGGACGACGTGCATTTTAATATCTTGTGGCAATTCGAACAACTGCATGTAACGCTGGACGTCTTTGAGAAATTGTTCGTCGGTCTGCTGATAATCGTCGAACAGATCGCCTGAAATTATGAAGCGGAGCGTAGAGACTATTAATGGAATTCACCATCATCTTCATCCCCCGACGTTAACGACACGTAAAGATCAATTCCTAGACATAAGACCCTAAGCGCTAACCCTGTCAAATGGGTAGGCGATGCAGTAAAACGCATTCCATAAGTTTTTTATTATAATATCAAGTGACGGGACGAATAAGTCGTGCGCCTGTTGGTAAGCTATACGCCAGTCCATAAAAGTTGTCCATCTTTAAATAATTTTGATTAATAATATAAACCTCATACATTTTAGCGTTAAGTATGTGGACGTTCTGTACAAATTCTATGCAAAATACCCAACACTCACCTAACACGAAAACCACATCTGGATAATGTAAATCAATGATAGCATGGAAGGCCCGGTACATTTGCCATTCGCGTCTTATTTTAATGAATAAGGAGTCTCTATAGGATCCCAGCAAATGGGTGTCCGACAAGAAGAGGGCCTTTAACACTGGTCCGCTTGAATTTGGTAATGGCCACCAGCCGCACTAAAATGAAAGGATAAAAGAACCGGTGAATAGGCTCGCATATTATGTAAATTAATTAATTCGACTTCGTCAACTCGCTACTAAGCATATAATACAATTTTGTCATAGCTGTACTGCTCTCCTCGTCATATAACTAACGCATTTGCGGTTCGGTATCTTTCGAGATATAAATATAGCTATAAAAAAGCTGTAAGTGCTCACTTATACCTTTCTTTTGCTAGTAAAAATGTCAATTACGCGATTTCGCTTAACAATAAAACTGAAACTAAATAATATTCTTATTGGTCTGTCATATATATGACCACCAATACATGGCGCAAAAAACCGATTAGAGGGGGTTGTAGATCCCGTTTCGCTGATCTAACTCATGTTAACTAACTCACTTCGCTAAAAAATGTCGATTAGAGGTTAATGTATGAGTTGAGATCATGATTATTAGGAAACATAAGAATATCTCTACATTATCACCAAGTATAAATAATGGTAAATTCATTGAAAACTTCAGTTGAAAAAGTATACAACTCTGAAGTTCCAGAAATGGCGAGAGCATTGGCGACGAACATTACATTATAAGTAATGAAAAGGAAAGAAAGCTACGTGTTAAAAAAAAAATAGCGACAATTTTTTTATTGCATCTATAAAGCACCTTACATATTGGAAATGAAACCATTTTTCCGGATTTAAATCGCGTATATTTGTTTTTTCAAACAAACCAACGTTTCACACCTCAGTCAACTGTGACCATGGGACCTGTAAAGGGCCCGAAACGTTGGTTTGTTTGAATAAACAAATATACGCGCTTTAAATCCGGAAAAATAGTTTCATTTCCTATGTGTAACAATCGCGAAAACCTAAGAACTATTCTCCAAGATCTCTTCTCACATTGTAAAGTATTTCTACAAAAGATAATGTATATATGGTTTTGAACGAGATGCCTAGATGGAGGATTTACAATTATTCTTGTCAACGTTAATGACATTAAAGATGATAAAACACGTCATGATAATAGAGAACGGTGTTGTGATGCATCGCCGTATGAGCACGATATGAACGCGAGTTGTTTGAAACCTTAGTAAATATTTACGAAATGATAGGAAGCGCACTGATAATATTGATCCGGATTAATCTACCTATTTCGATTTACATACGCTGATTCTTCCTAATACTAGTGGCCAAGAGCGAGGGATAATAATGCACGATCTATAGTTTGTGTATTATGTGTTTAATAAAATAGTATAGTAGAACAAACTATTTGACAAAAACATACAATATGTCGAGTTCTTGGGTTTTCGCGGTTGTTACACAATGAAACTGAAACTTCGGATCTAAATGACATACCTATACTTGTTTTTCAAACAAATCAACATTTCCGGGTTTACAGGGTGACTGAGATGGTAAAGTCAAGATGACGTTACGTTAGATTGTTTAAAAAACCAAATACATACGATTTAGACCCGAAAATTTAATGCATAATGATAAATAATACGCAGACACAGAAATAATTAAATAAAAACAACTGTGTAATACATACCTGTGCGATTACCACATAGTAAATCAGGAATTCACAATAAATCACAATTAAAGCAATGCCGAATACAAAAATCACTATTTTTCTTGTAACCCGCCGCATTGTTTGTTTGTAACCATGCGCTTTTAGGAAATGTTTTTTTTATCCGATGAACTTAAGCAGGTTATCAGTATTATCTTATCGCATTAAAAATAGTACCTGCCAAAATCTTGAGTAGGTAGATTAGATTCCAACATATTTTATAAACATGTCGTTGCTATTGAATATGTAGGGCTAGTACATACATATAATGTCAAAATTTATTTCGCAAAACAACGTTTTCCAAGGTAAAGAAACTCCTTGCTTTTGAGATTTTCCGTAGTCACCTCTTTGCTCTAGAGGATGGGTTTCAATCTTAGACTATGGAAACTAAGTTTCAATACTAATATTCACCGGCGAGGCGAGACGAAACGAGACGAGGCGAGACGATTTTTAAAACTTGTACGGCAAAATATCATTTCTCTCCTAGCGCATCTTCGGTGGAAATGGTCGGTATTGACGAGGATGGGCGAGACGAGATTTGAAATATTTGTTGACGTAACAGTGAACCGTATTGCTGCCTACATACACTCTTTATTAACTTTACAACGGAAACACGATTCATGACGTCTCGTACGATATTGTGCGAACTCGCGCGAGATTGTGGGATACAGTCGCAGTGCGCAGTGCATTGAAACGTTCACACATTTTCGAAATTATGTAAATATTAGATATTTCACAAAATGTACTAATGTATGTAATGTGTAATGCTGTTTTCAAAAATATGTAATCACGACACCATTTTGAAAAAGGTATACTTTTATTTCAGAGAAAAATAAACAAACTACAGTCAATGAAAAATATATAGTACTGGTGTCATACATGTATCCATATCATTTTCGTAAATATTTATACAATGCATATTATACAGTGTGTTAGGGCACGCACTGTACAAACTTTAAGGGGGTGTTTAGTATTCAATATTATGTGAAAAACACTAATACATGTGGGGTCAAAACTCAACTCTCTAGGAATGGCAGCCATTTTGATTTTTTATACTTAGTTTGCTAAACGTTTGTTCTAAAATTATCATATTATGAGAAGTAAAAGCAGTACGAACATAAAAAATATTTTTTCGGAAAGCTAACATTAGCGGCAATTGAATAAAATATCTGTCATGTACATAAAAAAGTGAGGGATTGCCTAATAAAAATAATGAATGTAAATTTTTACCAAAAAAAAACTGCCAAAAAAAACTAAGTTTTTGTAATTTAATCCTAAAATAACCAAATTAAGGTACTGTTTTTATGTATGAATTTTAAAATATTTCAGCTGTTCTTAATAACACGACAAAAATCATAATCCTATGTCCACAATTCTAAAAGTTACAGCTTCTGCAACATAACGTCTCCGAGAGCGAAATAAGTAAATTTTACAGTCTTTCTAGTAAATTGTTTTGTGTTGAGATGTAGTAAGTTAATTTTAAATAAAAAACAGTAAAAAATATTAGATTATTTATTTTACAAAAAAAAAGAAATATAAATTATAAAAGGCGTTTAAAATGTGTCCCATATTTAGAAGGCAAGCTGTTGTCCGAATTCCCACCTGCTGCGTGGCCCGATATAAAATTTCGGGATTTGCACGAATTTCTTCAGCAGCTTCACGAATGCGCGCCGATAGCTCCTCTCTCCTATTCACTGGGTTAAAATAAACTTTTTGTTTCATCCAACCCCAAAAAAAATCTAATGGAGTTAAATCCGGACTACGCGGAGGCCACGCAACAGTGCCGCCTCTTCCAATCCACTGTGGATAATTTTCATTCAAGTGCTGTCCCACAAACTCTGTCCTTAAAAATTCCAAAAATCTTGGGCCTTTTAATCTTTCCGGCAACTCCACCGGTCCAACTAATTGGTTATTAATAATACCAACCCAAACGTTGACAGAAAACTCATGCTGGAATGAGGATGGTCTCACTGCATGAGGGTTTTCGGTAATCCACATATGTAAATTACGAGAATTGGTTATCCCCGCTCTTGTAAACGAAGCTTCGTCGCTCCATAAAATCTTCTTTAAAAAGTTTGGCTGTTGCCGCACCTTTTGATTAATCCACGCACTAAAAACTGAACGTGCTGGTCCGGATCACTAATATTCTGCACGCGTCGAAAATGGTAAGGATATAAGCCTTCACTTTTCAAAATACCACACTGTCTAATGCGACATACCAAGTCGGAGAGCAATTCGCCTCGTGCTTAATCTTGGATCTCTGTAGATCATATTAAGAACGGTTTCTTCATCATAAACTGGTATTTCACGTGCACGTTCACCTACTGGTTGACGAATACCATTTTCTGCCAATCGCCTATGAATATCACGAAATGTCTGGTGATTAGGTGTAGGCCGATTTGGGAATCTCCTTCGGTATTCACGAACTGCTGCCCGTGCATTACCATTGCAAAATCCATAGATGAAATGAATATCTGCAATATGCGCACTTGAATACTGCTGATTATTCATGACGAATCAACAATAAATTTCACTCCGAAAGCACTTTTGGTCAAGATGTGTTGTCTGAGTAGAGAGTAACAACTGACTGTTAATTGTTGAATGAAAAGAACCGTTAAGTACCCTTAGAACTTTTTTTCAATCAGGATTGTGCTTAGGGGCTTATCTTTTGTCCCTTTTACACTTGCAAGCTGGGCAGAGTGAGCCAGGTAATAAATGGTTGAACTCATCGCCATTGTTGTAACCGAGAGCGATCTTTTGTGTTGTTAAGACACTAAGTTCGAGTAGTAAAAACTTTTAGAATTGTAGACGTACCGATTATGATTTTGGTCTTGTTTTTAAGAACAGCTGAAATATTTTAAAATTCATACATAAAAACAGTACCTTAATTTGGTTATTTTAGGATTAAATTACAAAAACTTAGTTTTTTTGGCAGTTTTTTTGGTAAAAATTTACATTCATTATTTTTTTTAGGCAATCCTCCACTTTTTTATGTACATGACAGATATTTTATTCAATTGCCACTAATCTTAGCTTTCCGAAAAAATATTTTTTATGTTCGTACTGCTTTTACTTCTCATAATATGATAATTTTAGAACAAACGTCTAGTAAACTAAGTATAACAAATCAAAATGGCTGCCATTCCTAGGGAGTCGAGTTTTGACCCCACATGTGTTAGTGTTTTTCACATAATATTGAATACTAAACACCCCCTTAAAGTTTGTACAGTGCGTGTCCTAACACACTGTATATTTATAATTGCATTAAAATGTACACGATTAGGATTGTGATTTTATCATAATTATGTAACCACTTTTAAAACATTGCAGCGTTTTCAAAAATATATAATACACAATGTAGTTGCAATATAGTGTAAACTTACCAACGCCAGTTGTAAACTTTTTCATGTGTATTTTGCTAGTTCGTAAAATTCGGGATAAAAGATTATACAAAATAAAAATAACTTTTTCGAAAATAACTATATAACGAAAAAGTAATATGAAAAAAGTAGAAAGAAAAAATAATAACGAAAAAGTTTTTATTTTAATTTATTTATTTTATCTTAGAAGGTTATGTACAAACAGCTTGTATTACAACATGACTATTTCTACAGTAACTTCATCTGATTCTTCTTCCGTTAACATATTTAATAATAAGAATTTACGGGTCATGGTAATTTAGCCGCGTGTTTATCGCTAGACGAATTGAACAGCACTGTATATTCACTATCCATAACCCAAGAGCGAGCTCGCGAGTGTTCGAGCGGGACCGCGCGTGCTCGCGCGAGATCGCGATGGCAACTTTTGGTGGAAATAGGTCGGCGAGATTTCAATTCTCGCCTCGCCTCGTCTCGTTTCATATCGCCTCACCGGTGGAAAAGCACTTAAAGGCTCTTTGTCGCTTTTCTAACAAATGATAGAGACGTCCGACCAATCAACTATTGAGTGTACTCGATGGTACAATGTTGGCCTACCGACACGCGCGTCGCACAGCGTGTTCTCGTTATATCGTAATGTTTTATTTATCATAGTTATTAATACAAAGATGGAACACTCAGAAAAAGTTTTATTTATCGTTGGACGACTGTCGCGTCTGGCCTGTTTCCATACAGCGACTATCTGTGGTGACTATGTCATGGACGTTTATTTTATCGTTGAACAACTGTTGCGTCTAGCCTGTTCCCCCATTCCGACTATCTGTCGTGACTAGCTGTTTTCACTAGATCGTGACGACAATTTATCGTTGCACGTGTACACAACGATAAATAAAACGTGACGACAATGGAAGCTGCAATTATCTATCGTGACGTTGTATTTATCGTCTGACGATTGTTGTTCTAGCTCTTCCCATTGTCTCGACAGTCTGTCGTTGTAACGTCAAACAAGTTGTGAGCGACAGTTAATTGTGTTGTACTATATGTGAACAACTTCATCGAAACATACAAGCCATGAAACTTTACACTGCACGACTATCTGTCGTCACGACATACGCATAATAAAAATAGCATTTTTTACTTTTAAAATTAAACATAATTTTTTTTTGTTAATTTATAAGTTCCATGCTTAAAAGTAAAAAAAAAATTGAGTGTTTTCTTTGTTTTTAATATTTAAAAGTTTTACAACACTAAGAGTGGAGAAAATCCGACGTTGACAAGCGCCCGATGGCAACTGATGGGGTAATGGGCTAATGTAAATTTAATAACTATATAGCTTCAGTAGAATACGTACTCAAATAGAAAGTTTTCCTTATAAAAAATTATGTGTAACGTTAGAATCCGTTTTAGACTTTTATTTTAGCTTGTTTTCAGGAGTTATATGATCGGGTAAAGTATATCCTATCGTGTAACAAATTAGCACATTTTTTATACAATATTCTTAGGAGTATCGTATATTCGTAAGACCGTTATTTAACAGTAAATACCCAAACCATTTGATCAAGCAAAACAGTTTTTCCCGCTTCTCCTCCGGGGACACGCCATAAGCTAAAAAACAAAAAATGCTATTTTGTGACCTACAATAAATTTACGTGGGAGGTATCGATATAATAGCGGACAGGGGCACATCAAGCACACGCAAATAGATGCGGTGCACTCTACCTATTAAGATAAAATATATTTGTTTGTTAAACTAAAACAATGGCAAATACTGTTAGCCTCGTTTATTGTAGAAAGTAAGGTTGCAATGAAAACACTTTTGTAATAGATAACGTAATGCAATAATATTTTCAGGTTAGTCTTACATTTAGTATACAACTAAGCTAAATAGACACCCTCACAAGTTATTAGTCGTTATGATATTTCGTTTATGTTTACTACTCGACTATTTAAAAAACAGGCACGTAGTATGTGTTAATATATAAATTAATAATTTAGTGTAAGGGTTGGTGCCTTATTAGCACCGCGTCCATACTAAATGCGTGATTTGTATGGGATATCTATCGGCATGCTCGATGCAATAACGTGATCATAGATATCTCATATAAATACACTTAACGATACTAAGGATATTCCTGAATACAAAATTCAATAGAAAAAAATACCTGTAAAATACGTCATTATATTGTAACTGCATCACACAATTATAAGCACAATCAGGTACCAATAATAGTAAAAATGTCAATTAATGCATTTGTGCATATATTGTGTAAGAAAAATCTTAATATTAAAATCAATGAAATACTTCCAGTTAATCATTGTGCAAAAGTTAATTAAATTCATTTGTGACATAATTGATAAAAGAGTAAATAGAGATACCTATTTGAATAACAAAATAGATTATGGCAAGTTAGTACAGCGTGTGTAGTGTCTGTTAAAAAGCCAGGAAATAAAATACAATTGTATTGTTCGTTCTTAAATATGTGTACGAAGAATGAAAAATTTAAACATTCTTGAAGTCATTTTGTTGTTTGTCTATCGAACCAAATTTTCTTTGAAACCTTTTAACGGGCCCACCGAGTAAACGTGTAGGTAATACACATTTATTCGGTAGGATCGGTGGGGTCATCAATATGTCAATTAACATTGACGCTACAAATTTTTTATGGGTCTATCAGAATTTTAAAGCATTGAAAGTTAAATTCTGGAAAAGTCATTTTGGAGAGCATAATCGCGAGTGAAAATAAAATTATTTTGAAATGTGTAAAGTAGTAGGTAAAGCATACGTTCAATATACTGAAAAAAATATTTATTGGTAAAATTTAAAAATGGCTGTCCCCTACCCCCTCCTATCCAAAAATTCTAAAAACTATTAATGAGTAGATGTACCAAAAGTATGAAGAGAGCTTTACTTAGGGTAATAAATATTTCAGGTATTAAAGAAAATTTAAAATTTTTATTTTAAATCTTTATTTTGGAAGCATCAATGTGGTATGATTGACAAATGACAAACTTGGTAGAAAAATAATAAAGTGACATGGTTCTTCTCCAATGTATTTAAAGATTTTGTAGAATTCCTCGCAAAAGGATTCAGTTGCTTTTATGTTTAACGATCCCGGTGGGCAATCACACGAGGTACTAAAGCGAACATATAAAAAACATGTATCGCCTGCTCATTTTCTGAACTAATAACACTGGTACTCTTGTAAATTAATTGTGACAAAGAAACAGACGATTTGTTAATCAATGTTACAACATAAAGCACAGCGATTAATTATTTATGAATCATTTATATTACAGCACTCTGTACTAATCTTGTCAAAGTATTCGTAATCATAACATAAATTTATAAAGTATAACTAAAATTAAAAAAAAATGTGATTTATATACTACACACTAAAGTAAGACCGAAATCTTAAACCTAACATTGTTAACAAACATTAAAAACTGAAAATTTTTGGTTCATAATACTTTTGACTATTTGGTAGGCAGAATGTGATCAATTATAGTTCCGAACAAGAAATCGAAAATGAAAAAAATGTCAACTTAAACTATGACTTACCGTAAAACTTGCTATTTAGTAAGAATATTAAAAGGTTCACGTTGATTTTTGCCTTTCCGAATAGATCCATGACAGCGCAGCCTTCATATTGCTTTTGCAAAAGATCCTGTATATCTATGTCTATAGATTCCATTTCGACTCCCATAAATTTTCCCTTAACTGTAAAAACGCCGTTGTTATCCGTAGGTGTGATGTCGAATTGTACGTTTTTGAACTGTGACGGTGACAGACCGTCGATTTCAAGCAACACTCCTCTCTCCATAAGCTTTGCTCCTGAATATTTGACCGTTAATTTCGACTTCAACTTCTGATTGTCCTTTCCAGATCTTCTTAGACATGCGTGGACGCTCCTGTAACGAAAACCTAGTTGCTCACAAGTACATTAATCTTTGCTTACAAATGTATTGTCAAATGAGTTTGAATTAAACTTTTTGAAAGGAATAAATTATAATAGTAATGGTAACAAAATACACTACTATATGTATACGTGGAGTTATGGGAAGCTCGAAATTGCAAACGTAGACTGCAATGCGACATAAAGGAATCAGTAAAGCTGATTGCTCATGGCGCCGCGGCGGCGCAGGAGTTGCGGCGTCATACTGCAGCACCAGCTGCGCGCAGGCGGAGGGAGCTGCGCTGTCGGAAGTGCGGTGGCAGGAGCGCCGACGGGCATTCGAGAAGTGGCGCGAGAGGCTGGAGCAGCCGTGGATCTTTAGCCAGCGCGCCGTCGGAGCGATCCTGCCCAGACTCGAAGTCTGGTTGAGCCAGCGGAAGTGAGTCTCCCCGTTTCGGCTGACACAGATACTCACCGGCCACGGATGCTTTCGGTGAGTATCTGAATCGCATCGAACGCGAATCGACGACGCAGTGCCACCACTGTGGGAGAATTCAGGATTCCGCTCAGCACACGCTGGAGGAGTATAGCGAATTTCCCCACGAAAAAAACACCACCAGTGGCGCGACTGCAACCCATGCGGCGTGACTTAAAAATCGCACATTAGAAGAAAATTGCGGCAGCGCTCACCACCGGTACCGCGGCACACCCCGGACACTCCATACAACGGTCGAAAACTATTTACCTATTACTACTACATACAGCAAGGCGCTATCTGCACACGCGCAAATGTGTGCGTGAAGTGGCAGGGTTACCCATCACTTGCTCGTATTATTACGTTACGTGGTCAAAGCGGCAACATAGCGAAAAGTCTAACGCGAATCTGTTATCTATAATTCTATAATAGAATCCTAAAAATTTTACATGTTCATTACGTATTTATATCGATATAATATTATATTTTTCATTAATTCACTAACTAGAATAATATTGAAGATTTATTTAAAAAATATATTAAAAGCACAGGTACCTTTAAAAAAGGTAACCAAAGTATTTGAAATTGCGTGTCCAACTTTATCATTACCTAGTTAATAATTAGGTATATTCACTAAGTAATATTTATCGGCAATAAAAATTAAAAATTCGAGAACCCTTGTCTAACTCACGAAGTTATGGCGTCTTATTATATTGATACAATAAATCTGTATTATTATCTGTATTATATTACTCTGCACTAAAGAAAACAATAACTGAATGAGTCTCAGACATAAGTTTATTTACTTAGTACGTTTCATCTTTCAAAAAACGGAAGAAACTCCTCTCTTTATCCCGTTTAGATGATGATAAACAGCCGTACACAGCACAATTCACGACCATTATAAATAGTAACTTAAAATGATGTTACATATTAACGTACAAATTTCGTAATTAATAAATGAGAACTATATTCAAATATCAAAGTCGTCTTAAGCCGAAAACGGCTCGCCGACAGCTTTGTTCTCGTTCAGTCAATGTGACCGTCAATGTGCGGGGCGTGGTGTGGTGTCTAAAGCTAGGGAGAGGCGGAGAGTGTCCGTTCTCATTACTTATTTGTTCTCTGACCACGATATCAAGTAATGTCGACGCCGCGGTGCGTGTATGCAAGTGTATACAAATGCAAGGGCGCCTACAACTGAGGCTCGTAAGCGGCGGAGCCGCAGTTGTAATCACCTAGTGTGTAATTAGTCCAAATAGTCTAGTTTGAAATCAAAGCTGGTGTTCAGCAAGAAGTGTCACATTCAATAAATTTTCGAAATTCATTCCTGTTCTTCAAAAATTGTAACAGAAAGATGCACTATAAGTATATAAGGTCGCAGTACCTTCTCAAGGATGGCGCAGTAGAAAGATAACTCAACGCACTTACCTTTTACCAGCGTGAAGATTAGCAAGACAAGATTTAATATACTGATCATACGACTTCACCTTTTCTTCATAATACTTTGTCTTTTCCAGCAGACTCTGTTTCGTTCTTGTCAAAGTGGTCAGCGCTCTTCGTTGAGCTTGTCTGTATTTACCCTTATTACACACATCGAGAGCTATAGAAGTTATTAAAGCTTGATAGCCGTCTTCCCTGGTAACGTAACCTTCGTCTTCCAGCATTTGAAGGTTTCTTCGAAGTTTGGCTATATGCTCTCTTAGCGACATTACTTCGTCTGGCTTCGCTTGTCCGGAATAGATACGTCTTTGTACCATTTTTGCGTATTGTTCTTGTTGTTCTGTGGTTGTGCCAATGCATAAGGCTTCTAGAAGATGTTCACCTTGATAAAATAAAATGAAGATTAAAGCTACGTAAAACACAAAACTTGATGAAAAAATAGAGAGTACTTGGTACTTGGTACTTGGTGCCGTTGCACTGGTATCCGCAACTCGACGACAAAGCGCCTATTTTGCGTGAATAGAGAGTATCATAAATTGACTATTCGAGTTATAAATAAATAATTATTTATTAATGATCTACATCAACAATGTATTAATTTAATATTCATAAAACCATCATCATCAACCAATTTGTATCGGTAAATTAGACGTTTATATTGTCGGAAAAATACTCAGACGTATTTTTTTTAGAAGCCCTGGAAGCCTAATGTTTTGACCTACTGCGTCTCAAGCAGAGATCGTGAGTTCGAATCCGGGCTGATTTTCTTGAAAATGTGCGAAATTTCACTTGAAATTTATCAAGGGCGTGTCGGCGAAGGAAAACATCGCGGTGAAACCTTCACATTGAAGGAGGTTCGCAATCCTCGGAAAACGTATGTAGTACCCAACCCCCATCGAGCCAGCATGGCGGACTATGAAAGAAACCCTCGCCTGAGAGGAGACCCCTTTCTTGCAGTGCGACACAATAGGCTAATAAAAAAAAAATATCATTCCTACCATTCAAAAACGGGATGATAGCAACGCACAGTTCTTTGGTTTTAATAAACAGTTTGTTTAAGTCCGTCATATCGTCAGCAGGAGCCTGGAATTTGTTCACTAAAGCCAGGCACACTTCTAATCTTGCATTTTCTTCGGCAGAATCTCCCATGTGCTGTAAACACAAAGCGTCATAGAAGTCACAATTGAATACGTAAAATTCGCCGCGAGATCACAGACTTCTTCAAGGAAACGATGCCATAAAAGCCTATCGGCAATCGCAATAAAACCAGTGGAAGAACGCCGTACTCACGAAATTAGAAAATAAATTAGAATTTCGAAAATAAATTAGAATTTCAAAAATAAATTGGAATTTCGAAAATAAATTCCTTTGCATAGCTACATTTCTTTAGGACACACGCGCTGCGTATGTTGGTAATGTTCAACAACCACGTTCAAAATCAGTGGTTTCATGGTTGCAAATGCAATATTATGTGATTAAGGCTACAGGAAAGAAAATAAGCATACACCAATTTCTAATGCGTCGATCTTGGCAATTTGGTTTATCAACATGTGTGAGGCTTTCGGAGTTTCTTTTAATTAATATATCAAAAACATTATTAAATATTAGACAACATAACATACGTTGCTCCGACCAAAAAGGACGACGCGACGATACCACAGACACCCAGACCCGAGACAATATAGAAAAGTTTTCTACGTTGATCCAACCGGGGATTGAACCCGGGACCACAGAGATGGCGACACCATGAAAACCGGTGTGCAAGCCACTCGACCACAGAGGTTGTCAAATTTTAGTGCAATGTAGAACTATCTTCGATTTAGGGTATAATTTGACGAACACGTAAACAAATTTTATCCTGTGTTTACCTATCTGGTATTCTTTGCACAAATTGTATTCCACTGGAACACACAAAGAAACAAGCTCTTCCTGAATTCTCCCTTAATGCTCAGGCCACACAGAAGAGGCTGCGAAAGCGTTTCGGGCGCGGGAATTTTTGTAACGTACGAGTTCATAGGAACCATGCCACATTGAAACGCGCGTCTCTGTGTGGCCAGAGCATTAATAGCTCTTATCGAGCTCACAACGAAAAATGCGTTCTTTCACAGGTACCAGAATAAATAATAGAACTTACCGTGTCCACATCTCGTGAAGCAAGTTGTGCGACTGAAGGTACTTCACCAAGATCATCTAATAACTCGTTAAGCCTATCTCGAGAGTCCGGAGCAATGATGTCTTGGTACTCAACAAGCAAAGCGTGCGTATCGACGATTTCCTAAAATGGTAACTAGTTTTATAAAACAAAAAATATATATTGGTACGGACCTCTCATCATACTATCATATCATCTCATCATACAATAACACAATTAATTAATCATATACCATTCCAGTTAAATTTTCATATCAGTGTTTCAAATATCAAATTATGGCATCCAGTTCTTAGATTTTCAAGATTGTTACATATAGGAAATGAAAATATTCTTACGGATCTAAATCGAAACTGCAGTACTAATTAATATATGAACTTTTTATAATTCCATTATTAATTAATAATAAACTTCATTTAATAAAAACTTATATTGTTAAAACAAAATAATTGTAAAAATATGTATGTATATAGGAATAGGAATATTGTTTGGAAAATTAATAATAATTTAATTAATAACGTTTTCACCTCATTATCTCGGAAAAGCTTTCTTTCTCGTTAGAAATCTGGGCGCAAAAGCGTTTTTTCCACACTAGCGTGGAAAAGGTTTTTAAAATTCGAATTAGATTGTGGTGCTCCTAACTTTTTCTTTCGATGAAAAAAAACCATAACGACACGTTCAACTACGCGATTAGTCGTACATTTATGTAATATAAATCCGTTGGTATATTTTATTCTTATTATTGTTGAAATTACTTAGCAACGACAACTAATTTTGTTTATTAAAACTGATTTGTTATAGTTTAACTGTTTTTCTTTCATCTATTATTTTCCTCGCTATGGTGAGGAGAAAATTAAATGTTGTGTGTTTCGCTCGGAAACAAAGTTGTTTTGCATCTCGTGCCTTAAAACCTCAGGATTATATTTTTATCTTAGGTTTTTAGGTTCTTTCGCTTGCTCAGGTTTTAATACAAGCACTCGCGTCAAACAACTTAGCAGCGTTGCATAACATTGTAAATATAGTGAAAATTAGGGTGGTTTGCTTTAATATTAGATATAACTTGTTGATGACTTTACCATCTTAGTCAGCCGTGACCATGCGATCTGTAAAGGGCTCGAAACGTTGGTTTGTTTGAAAAACAAATATATGCGATTTATATCCGTGAAATAGTTTCATTTCATCAATTTATGGCGTCATATTTTAAATAAAGTTCAACGATCACATACACCTATGGGTATAGAATGAATACTGTATGCTTCCCGCCGACCACTGGTGCAGAAGATAACATGGACTTTCAGGCATCACACAGGCGAATTTTTCTATATCGTTTCGTGCGCTTCGGCTTTTGCTATCCGTCCAATAATATGTGTATAAGGGAAGTGTGAAATACCTGAACTGTGATGTAAATATGTGGATGGTGTAACAATGTGGCCTCGGTATACTCGTCAACGGCAAAATACTCTTCAAGTGTAGGTCCGCGACAACAGCGCCGGAATAGTTTCTTCATCTTTTCATGACACTCCACTATAAAGGGATTTAGGCAACGGAGATGGCTGGACTCTTCGCCGAACTGTTGACAATATGGTTTGTGAATCCAAATAATGTAGTTATAATAAAGTGGCTCTAACGGAAGTTGCAGAAAGGTCGAAACAAAACGTCTAATGTTTCTACTCAGCTCTGTCTTAGGCTGGTTTCACAGCTGGCTGTGGGTACGGTCCATACGGCTTGTCCGCCTGCGAATTCTATGGATGGGCCATCCGCATGCGTAGAATTCGCAATAATCTGAATCGAGTATTTAACTTAGTGCGGATATTCATGGAAGACTGTCGCCTTGTGCAAAGTTCACGCGGAGCGGGTTCCGTACCGTGCATTCCGCGTCACTGTAACACCACAATGTTCTATCGCCACACGTGTTCTAAGTAACACACTCAGCTCCGGAGCTCCACGCGGACGATCTGCAGATAAACCCGCACTGCTCTGAATCCAGCCTCATTACATTAAAATTAAGTTTTGTAAAACCATATACTTTTAGGCCGTGTTCAAAATAGACGCTTGTAGATAATATAATAGTAATAATACATGTATATAATATAATAGTATATGTGTGCCGGACAAACACACAGAATTGCTTGGTCTCAAACTAGGGAATTTCCTGTACTGTACCAGAGCAACGGAATTCAATCTGGGGCACTTCCCAGAACACCCAGAGTAGAACCAATTTAGAAAAGTTCATTTCCCAAATTGGTTATACCGGGACCTCCGCATCCAACGCCCACAATGTAAACCGTTAGGTCATCGAGGTCGTCATATATGCACTGCAGTGGCGCATCTGTAGCGCCACTAGAAGTTTTCATACAATTTTTAGAAGCACGTTAGCAGCGCCACAGTTGCACGTAGGCGTTTAAGTTGCAGTCACAGTCAGTGTGGTGTATTTGTTTATTTTTTGCTTGACCACGACGAATAAATAACAAATTGGAGATTTTATTAATAATGTTAAACTATACTCCGCGCTATGAGATAGCAATTCTGTCAGTTATTTCAACAGATCGAAGGAGAAAATAGCGTAGGAAAATTTAAGAATAAAATTTTTATCTTCATGTTGCTGAAACCTGTAATATTTATTTTGAATATTTTCATAAAATAAAGCTAAGGAGCGGATTTTAATGTTTCGATTCTCATTTTTTATATAATAATATTTCTTCATCACTTTCAACAAATAAGTAGGCAAAAACATTGCTTCTTCGACAGAATTAATCGCATAACAGAGCCTAACGAAACATCACTGAAAATTTGGTCACGCTTCAGCAACGTACGCTTAAAGTATGTGTACACGTTAAGAATTTCGACGTGTCTACTACAGGAAAGATGAGGAAGGTCTTATACACGACAAAAACTTTGTCGGATCTAGCCACGAAAAGATGTCGTGACTGTTGCAGACGATAAAATTATGATTATGTACACAATACGAATGCTTTCGGACAGACGTATGGAGGGTAAAATGTGTCAGTGCATGACGAGTCTTCCAGGTAGCTGTCGTTTTAATACCGGCTGTGGGAAGAAATATGTCGTTGTATATGTTGACTATTAAGCAACACCCGTCCGTGCGCACAAACGTTCGTTTACCAACAAGCACCTCGCCCCGCCCCATACAATAGCGGCAGAGCGCGTCGTTTCGGGGGTAGACAATATTTTTTTCTTGTCCTACGCCGAGGCAGTGTAGACAGTTCGTGTGTAAAAACGTATTAAACGTAACTTGTATAGACCCGGCGACTTTTCTTAGCGTTGACACGCGCCCTTACACGAGCGTCTAATTTGAAGGCGTCAAAATTTGATTTCTCTTCTAATTTGATTTTCCATACTAAATTGTATACTATAAATCAGTGTTATTTAAAGGCATTTATTACATTATTACCATCCACACGAGGCATGAAACATCTCAAATAGTACTTGTACTTCGTGTACCAATTACACAAACAAAAAACTGTTTGCGTACTTCAATTTAGAACGAAACATTCGCGTTTGTTATATCTTGTTTTTTATTGTCGTGTTATATCTGCGAAGATGAAATCTCAGACATTTTTAATAGGCTTACAGCACGGTTAGTCCTATAGAATTGCATGCCGTAGGTATTATTAAAGATAAAGTATCTTACTCCTTTCTTAGCTGCAGCGAAATGCAAGATTTTGGCAACAGAAGCGAGGTTCTTCCGCTGGTCTGTTGTGAGACCACTTCCGTTGGGCAAGTTGATGATGTGGAAGGCGTCGGGAGCTACGATCGCTGCGTTCAAAAACTGGTAGTATACCAGGTTTCCTATTACCTGAGAAGAAAATCATTGCCACATAAGGATTTTCCATTGAACTCTCAATACAGTGAGATTAATATACCACTATGTCTGGGTCTGCTTAGTTGGGTCTTCTGACACAACAGGCCAAGCAAAACTGATCAAGCTATTATTCGATCTCAGGACAAATCAATATTATTAGATACAGGACTACATAAGCACAATGTTTAAGAAATTTTACGCATATAAGTAAAGGTAAAGGAAGAAAGTAGTAATAGAAAAAAAGAAAAAGTAGGTATTTGTATTGAAAACCTTGTTACCTTCAAAATATCCTTCTCAGGAGTGTTAGGGAACTTTGTAGTGAGAGCTCTGTGCAGTACTCGTGACATGTAAGTAATACAAAATGGCAGCAGTTCTGTAGAGTTCGTTATCTTGTCCAAGAACATGGTCACTATAGTTTTGAGATGAGATAAGGCAGTTTCAAGACGTTGTTTCACTTCTGGATAATTGAGGGCTTCTTCTTGCGATACCGTGTAAGGAAGTTTGCTAAAAGAAAAATATAGATAACCACGAATTCAATAACAAATATTTATTTATTTTAAATCAACCTTGATCGTTTATACCCATAGACATATATCTAAATAGACAAACCAAGCGTGTCACATTTTTTGTACCTCTGATGACGTCACAAGCGCTATTTAGGGATTGGAAACCTCCTTCGGCACTAAAGCGATTGATTCAAACGAAGATGCGGACGGAGCGCGTATACAAAATAATGTTTTTTCAAGTATTTGTCGATTATAAGAAGACATGAAAAATTAATATTGTAAAATAATACCAGAATAAGATAATTCCTTTGCAAAAGTCCTTTATTGATAAGTGTTTTAAAAAACGTCGCTACAGAAAATTTAAAAAAAAAAAAGTTTATAGAATATTTTTATAACATTTTGTAAGGTCTTAAGTATTATAATCTCTTTGTTTCCTAAATCGATCAGAATCGAGAACTGTGTTGCATCAAGTGATCATCACTAATCGTAAAATTTGACCAAAAACATGACGAAGCTAATGCATTATACGAAAGTACCGCTCGTTCGATATTCATGGCCCACTAAAGAAGGACCACAAGTGTACCGCACCAAGTAAAAGCCGCTTGTACGCCATGTACTGGTATGCATATTTGTTTTCTCGAAATTCATTCAAAATGAAAATAATTGATTTTAAGATAATTTATGCATATTCTGATTACAAAATTACTTAACTATGGAAGTAATAGCTCCTGTTTATTCATCTAATTCATAGCTATGGTGGTTTTGCAGGTTTTAATGGAAAAATTAGGCATTTTTCGCGTTTTCGACTGATGTTTAACTACGATAATAACTTATATTGGGCACGCGATGTAGGTACACTTGCGGCGTCTATTTAGATATGTCAGTGTCCATACTCCACTAAAGAACGCCTATAAAAAATGGGCACCAAAAAAATGAGATCAGTAAAATAACAAAGGAAGACGATAAAAAAGGGCACCATGAGAATGTGATTAGGAAAATGAGAAATAACGACCGTGAAAAAAGAGGGACCAAGAAAATGAGAGCAGACTGAAAAAAGGGACACCTAGCGTGTTAATGATAGGAAATGTTGAGGAGTTCAAGGCACAAAAATACACTACACTTAATATATTTTTTAATAAATTTACTATATCGCACTTACGAGATTTGTCCAGTCTTCATTTCAGTTTCATTTCTCCAAGCTTTATAAATTTCTACTGGCCCTGTTTCGATGTTCAATTCTCTGTCTTTTAACATCTTTTCCACCAAAGGCCCGATTATGGTCTGAAGACTGTTCAAGCCAGATAACTGGCGCGAAAGACTTACTGCCATTTTCAGAACCAAAGGAGTCGATGCTATAATGTCAAATGGCTTCGTGACTTTGCAACTGATTTCCTCCTCAAGTGTAAATCTAAATAATTTCAACAATAAATACTCATCCCTAGCATAAGCGCCAAAGTTGTATAAACTTAGCACGACGTTTTGTAAGAAAAAGTTAGTTTTGTTTTGTGGAATGCAGAACAATAGTTTCGACAAATACGTGGGGTTTGTCTGCAATTCGTAGAAAAGATGCTGGTAGCCGTCTAAGAGTCTTTTACTTTCTTTTGTTAAAGACTTTAATCCTTTCACAGCTGTGGTCACTGCCATTAACTTTTTCCCATCATTTTGATTTTGAAATACAAGCTTGGTCATCGAGTTATGTTTTACCAAATTGTTTAATTTAAGTCCGTGGGCCGCGACCTCTTGTAGTGCTATACGATTTTGTACGAGAAGTCCAATTTTTAAATCCATATCGTCTATTTGTTTTGACAATTCCTTGTTTTTCCTTATAGATTGCACTACTTCAGATTTAAGAGATTGCAGTTCTATTTCTCTGTCATAATCCTCAGTGGAGAAATCCAACATAGGAATAAATTTTTTCACTACTTTCAGTGGTGGGTTTGGGGAATGGAATAAAGAAGTGAATGCTTGTCGTGCGCGTCGGCCACGCCACAATGCTTGGATTTTTATTATTTTGTGCTCCTAAAACATAACAACCGACATATTATAGCAAATAAAAATGACATATGAAGATTAAAATCTTCAACGTGTTTTTACACTTTTTTGCAATTTTCTCATAAAAGTGGATACTGCATTAACTTGATGCACTACTACTGAACAGGGCACCACTGACACGAGTGACGAGGATTTTGAATGTTATTGACGGGAAAATTGATCTATTTGCCTGTTCTATGTAGCTTTATTTTCAATGTGTTACGGAATATAATAAGTTTGTAATATGATATAATTTAGTAGATATAATATAACTTTGTATATAATATTGAAAAAGGCGATCATTTTGGCTACGCTACTGCACAAGGTTAGTCCACTCATAACACTATTGTAATAGTTGCTAACTTGTGTATGTAAAATAAACAAATTACATAGAGATTTTAAAATGCTCTTGTCTATTAAACTTATTTAATTTATTTTTCAGTTCAGTTCTCTAATATAAAAATGAGTTGACATGTAACTCTTATTACACTACCAGGTTATTTTTAATTAACCAGTAACCTCTTAGCATGGCATTCAGTCGTGAAATATGATTATTGATATCCTGAAAGCAATTGATACTACATATAGTTTGTGTTGACAACATGTCTAACATACTTGTATCTTGTAGAATGTAAATTAAAGATTTAAACCACATTCAACGACAATTACACAAAAATGTAAATATTAAATAAATATTATCACCTATCACACAGATAGCACCACAATCAGATAGTCAGTCTACAGTACCTATATTAATAAATTAGTAACCATATATATACCTGTACTTTATACCACACCCAAGGATTCTGCTTTCTCTCACGTCTCAACTTCGCTTCTATGGTCTTCATTTTAATTATAGTGCCGAATTTCTTTTGCACCAATATCCTTCTCCACCAAGCTTGAATTTTAATAACATATTCTTCATTATCTTTGAAGAATCGAAGTCTCTGAATCATACGCCTCCTTAGCAAGTATCCCCTGCAATAGGCTTGTATTTTTACGATGGATTTCTCTATCTCCATTTGTTTGTACTTATTTATGTGATGCTTGTTTGTTTTCTCAATTAGAACATTGACGTCTTTTCTAGACAAATACCGAGCGTATGGAACGAAATCCTTTGGAGTACTCCAACTGTACGTGTAAGACTCCACATCAATATAAACAGTGTTACCGGCGTCGGTGTGACAAACTATCCAAGAACAGATGTGGTGACCCCTCTTCTTTAAAGCTTTAGAAAACATTTGAAAATATATGTTCTTGCATGACTCTTCAATGGTCCCAGAACCAGAAAGAAGAGGACAGTATAGAGCTCTAAAAAATTCGTCCACGCTGTTCTTAAGTACAGCTAAGTTCAAATGAACTAACGCCTCGGTCAATTGTTTTACTTTTAAAGACTCTGAATTTACTTCATTAATAACATCAACAATATCTTCAAGCCACAGATTTTGTGACTCTTTGTGTTGCATCTTTTTTTTCAGTAGACGCAAGTATAGCTGTCGCTCCTCTTTGTGCAATGGCGTTGATATTTTCAGACATGGACTTTTCAACAATTTCATTATGGTTTCAACATCTTCTTCCATGACTGCTTTGTTTATGCTATTTACTACTGCTACCACTGAAACAAATAAATTTAACACACATTATTGGTTTTTATCATTCCCAAGAAATGTATGTTGCCCGCTTGCCAAAACAACTTGTTATCTCTAATACATCGTCCTAAATAAATAACACGTTGTTCTGGCAAATGGGTGATGTGAGAAAATTTAACTTACACTCTTCATTGTCATCATCCTTCATATTGACCATTTCAATAGTATCTCTAATATCATCCAAAGTAAGCAATGGACATGCACACTGTCCTCTCACTTTTACTTGGAGTGCAGTCACAAGGGCGTTCAAATAGCGTCGCCGACAGTGAGGACGTAGTCCTTCAAGATTGATCTGATTTGAATTTAGAGATCTCCATACAGCCACTTCATCTCCTCTATCTACAGCCTGAGATATAGAAGCTATAGCTAAAAGGTAAGATACAGATGCAGCTATCTCACTCTCATTAAGATTCTTTTCTAGCTCACACTTCTCCAATTTCATTTCTTCAAATAAAAGTGGTACAGCAAACTTGTCAATTTTGAAACTCAATTCCAAATGAGGATTATTCAAAGCCATATACAGATCTTCAGGAGTTCCTTCATCCAGTGCCTTGTTGACTTTTCCAATAGCAGTTTTATGATCCATATGCTCAAGAGATTTTCGATTACCTTCACTAATAACATTCTGGAATATCTTATACCAGTTTGTAATGCTTTCAACATCAACATCTTTGTTACTTTCAATTATTTCCTTTACAACATCACAGTAAAAATCTAGATTCTTTCTGTAATATTCCTTCACTTTCACCCATTCATCACTGAAAACTTTATGCAAACTATTTAAGTCGTTATTCCTGGATGCTGAGCAAAGGTTCTTCCACGAGTCTTTGTAATTAGTAGCAGTAATGTGGCCCTGAATTTCGACTTGGGTGAGTAATTCATCATATTCATCAGGTATGTAACTATCATTCAAAGAATGATTAAGAGCTGATTGTACTTTCTCCTTTTTAGCAGCTTTAAGCACGTTTTTGTATTCATCTATAAGTTTATTTTGGACATATTTGAGTTTCAAATGTGGATTTAGTAAAGCTGAAGTGATGGACTTTTCAGTATCCAAGAATTTGTTTACGTCAATTACTGCTTTGTGGAGAGCGTCACTGTCGGATACGTTGTTTTTAGACAAAAGCCCACCTATTTGTTGAAACATGGGGAGAGGGTGTTCACATTTCTGTAAGTCTTTGGAAATTGAGTCGAGTTGTTCATCTGAAACAGAAACGCAGATTAAGAATTTAAAAGTCTTCAATTGAGTTCAACACTTCAGGGTCAGCTCCGGACGTGGTTGGAGGCAAACGACACAGCCGTGGCGCTGATCCAGGAACCGTGGATCAGTGTCTGCGGCCAAATAAATGGACTCTCACATCAGAAAGGTAAGATATTATCTGCTACTATCTCAGATAAACCACAGACGTGCATGTATTACTCAAATAACTTGCACATACAGCCACTAACACAATCCTGTTCCAGAGATCTGTGTGCCGTAAAACTTATAGTCAACGCGGCCACGGGTCTGCCTAAAGTGGTGCTCGACTCTGTCTATATGGCGGAGATAGATGTGCCACCACCGCAGGAAATGGTACAGCTAATCAACCATTGCGAGCAGAACGGCCAGCATATAGCAGTGGCTTCTAACTCTGATGCCCACCATCCGCTGTGGGGCATTGAACTCGCAAATGACAGAGGTAAGAACCTAACAGAATACTTATTCACATCTAACCTTCAAATCCTTAATAAAGGAATAATAATAAACCTACCAACTTTCGTAAACAAAAGTTGTAGAACTAGTACAGACCTTTTTTTTTGGTACAGACCTAACCCCAGCGTCAGAGAGAGGAGAAGTGAATCTTGTCCAAAACTGGCACGTGTCCGAAGAAGCATCTTTCTCAGACCACAGATTGATAAGATTCAACTTAGAAACAGCTATAGAAATACAACCGAAATAGAAGCCCAGAAAAACCGATTGGAAAATTTACATTGACAACTAAACCAGAGCCTAAGGAGACCGGTAGCACTGGGAAGACTGCTGGACATAACACAGATGGAAACACAGGTCAAAGAATTGACATCAAAATTCTTGAACAGAAGAAGAAGAGACTACTGACTCAGCCTCGCGCAAGACCAACCCTGATGGGGCCTGAGCTTGAGAGGCTGCGAAGAAGGGTAAGAAGACGCTTCAATAGAGCAATGAACACATACGCGGATGAGGACGAAAACTACAAGACGGCCAAATCCAAATTAAAAAAGCGCATACGGTTCAGGAGTACCGCGTCATGGCGAGGGTACTGCGAAAACACCACGTCTTGTGCACAAGCGAATAGAGTAAGAAAAATTCTTGCCAATTCAAATTCAACTGAGCTAGTTTCAATAAGTAAAACAAACAACAAATTCACAACTTCCCCTATAGAAACGGAGATAACCCTCCTGGAAGCACATTTCCCAGCATGAGGTTCGTCCAAGACAGGTGAGAAGAAATGAACTAAAACACGTCGATCCATAACTGGAGATACCATGAACAAGTACATACGAAACAACAACATGGGCAGTGTACACCTTTCAATGGCTGAATGGTGGGGACACACTGGTCCAGCATGTCGACGTCTTTCGGGCCTGTTTAGCATCCGGCTATGTAAGCTGAAGAGAGGTAAAAGTTATATTTATACCAAAACTAGCTAAAAAAGACTACATGCAAAATCCTTCAGGTCAATCTGCCTCACATCGTTCTTTTTGAAGACGTTAGAGAGGTTATGTGACAGAGAACTGTGAGACGGAGCCCTAAAGAACATATCCATTACACGGAAACCAACATGCATACTGGCAATGCAAGTCCACAGAATCAGCCCTACATGCCGCTGTCGGCATGATGCCCTTAAAAACAAGGTAATCTTAGGCACCTTTATAGATATTGAAGGAGCCTTCGATAAAACCAATTTCTCGTACAATCAACATTAGAAGACAAACAATAGCAAACGGGGCACATATTATGGGCCATAATAGCGAAGTGGTGCCCTCGAGGAGGAGTACTGTCGCCTCTGCTGTGGAACAAAATCGTAAATAATCTCATCATCAAACTAAACAAAGAACATTTCTATACAATAGGCTATACTGACAACATAGCTACACTGGTAACAGGCAAGTATGCCAATACATTCTGAGAAGTAGAACTAGTAATGTTTACAAACAAAAGATTGCTGCGTAACTACCTACTACCCAAACTCCCAAATTCTGCAGTACAGCACTACAATTATCAACCGAAGTGAGGTACCTAGGAGTAATATTGAACAACAAGTTGAACTGGAACAAGCCCCTGGACAACAAAATTAAAAAGCTACTATCACTTTCTGGCAATGCCATAGAACGGTAGGTAAACAATCGGAACTTACACCCAAGATAACACTATGATTCTACACAGCACAAGCCTATGATCAATTACGACGCGATACCACGGCGTTGCCACTAACCAAGCACGACCGCAACCGACAAACTAGGCAAATTCCAAAGGCTAGCGTGACCCCTCCCACTGTTCATCAGACAGGAAGCGGCGCCAACAGCAGTGCGTCTGAACAGAGCTGGCCTTTGGAAGCACATGAGGACCCCACATACAGAAATCCTTTACAAGATTGAGGAACTGCTACTGCAGGCTGCTGTGGATAGGTTCCCAAAACAATATATTAGGGGTTAAAGTATGAAATTGCCGTTTTATTGCAATAGGTTCTTTGAATTTTCATAGAATCTTCATGGTTTGAGGTTTTCGAATGAAACTTTTTTCAAATGGTTTCTGTGATTTTTTTTTAATTTGAAACATTTGAATATCGACTTTCAATTGTTTTTGTTATTCAATTTAGACAAGAAAGATGGATACTGCGAAAATTCGAGTGATTTTTGAATACGAGTTCCGACGCGGAACTAACGCGGCAGAAACAGCCCGCAATATCAATGCTGCGTATGGAGAGGGGTCTACTAATGAACGCACCGTGCGATTTTGGTTTAAACGCTTTCGTGATGGAAATTTCGACTTAAAGAACGAGTCACGAGGAAGACCGCCCACACAGGTGAATAACGATGAATTAAGAGAGATAGTGGAAGCCGATCCTAGTCAAACTACCCAGGAATTAGCGGCATGGTTTAACGTTACCTTACCCACAATATTGACTCACTTGCGTCAAATCAATAAAATAAAAAAATACGAAAAATGGGTGCCTCATGATTTGACTGATCTGCAGAAAGAAACGCGTGTTGAAACTTGTGTTGCCTTGTTGAACCGGTACAGAAATGAAGGAATATTGGATCGAATTGTAAAATGTGATGAAAAGTGGATTCTTTATGATAACCGGAAAAGAAAAATGCAATGGCTGACCCCAGGTCAAATGCCACAACAGTGTCCTAAAGCAAAACTTACCAATAAAAAGGTAATGGTAACTGTTTGGTGGTCTCAGCATGGTGTTATTCACTATAGTTTTCTCCGATCTGGTCAAGCAATAACGGCAGATGTCTATTGTGCCGAACTCCGAACCATGTTGACAAAACTAGCAGTAAAACAGCCCCGACTCATGAATCGATCTTCACCATTATTGCTCCACGACAACGCGAGACCTCACACAGCACGAGAAACCATTTTGACCCTTCAGGAACTGCAGTTAGAAACCATTCGTCATCCACCGTATTCACCTAGACCTTGCTCCAACGGACTACCATTTTTTTCGTGATTTGGACAATTATCTACGTGACAAGAAGTTTTCTTCCCAGGAGGCAGTACAAAATGCTTTCACACAGTTTGTGCAGTCTAGATCGTCGGAGTTCTATCGCAAAGGCATTAATAACCTTCCCATTAGATGGCAGCAATGTATAGATATTAATGGCAACTATTTTGATTAAATAAATTTGTTAAAAATTTAAAAAATAAACAATTTAGATTTTCAGTACAAATCGGCAATTTCATACTTTAACCCCTATTATTTTTGACAAAAAATACAAGATACAATTGTTTGAAGATGCCAACGAAGGGCTGAACCCCAGAGGGGTCCGCATCTTCACTCATGGATCAAAAACAAATTCAGGAACTCTTGTTCCTAGATTTGGTGTTTGCTTTCGCTATTTATTTTTGCTGAATTGAGGGAATTCTCAGAAAACTTCAATATTAGGATATCAACCCCGCTTGGTGACCACAAACAGTATTCCAGGCTGAATTTATAGGTATCAAGTAGGCAGCAGAAGCAATCATAGCGAGAAGAGTAGAGAATCACACCAATATTTGAATACTCAGCATGTCCCTACTTCAAGCACTGAGCATCTGACATTAATTCAGGGCTTATTTATGAATGTCATCAAGCACTCATGGAGGTATGTATACACAACCACATAACTCTACAGTGCATTAAAATACACAGCGACTTACGTGGCAATGACGCAGCAGATGAACTAACCAGACCTGAACCTATAGTGTCCCTCCCCTACCAATGGTCAAGAACATTACACAAAGATATAAAATCTTCTCATAATAACACATGGACTACCCTTACGGTTTGAAGACAGGCTAGGGAAGCATTTCCAATGCTCAACATTAGTCTATCTCGAAAATTAATCTAATTTAAAAGGCAAGAGCTTCACACTCCTAACTGCATCCCTAACAGGTATGGTCCATGCAATAAACACCTTTGCAATTTAGGTTTCATGAACAGCCCTCTATGCAGAGCGTGCATGGAGGGGGAGGAAACGGCTGCACACATCCTACTACAGTGCTCCAGTGTGGTCAACTACAGGGCGAACTACCATGAAGTGTCGAGGTAGCTCCTCGAAGTCTTCAGCAAACTGAGGAGGTTGCTGAGATACCTAGAGGGATTGGGTGGCACGAGTATAACCCTGCACCCACCACACGCAAAGTAGGCGCCTTGACGTCGAGTTGCGGACACCAGCCCGTTACACTCAGTAACACACAATTTACGAAAAACTTTCAAAAAAAGTGTTGATCAAAGTTAATTTTCCTTATTTCAGCTATATGGCATGACAACCAAATTAGGCAAAGTGATCATTAACAATGTTTCCTTACCAGTAAATACAGCCTTGCCATAGACATCGTGAATAAGTGGAGCTTTGCCTAACTTGAAGAGATGAGAGCTAAGAGCATGCAGGCAATATATTACACGGGGCATGTTCTTTTTGTCATAAATATCAGTTGTTTCTGGTTGGAAAGTCTGGGAAACATACGTAGCATGTTAGAAAAATTATGAAAACAGCAAATCTAGTATTAAAATTAATGAAATGTTCATTACAAAAAATTAATAACAATCTAGTAAATGTTGTCATGATATAAACTATGTTAAGTTACATAAACTAACTATCTGCCATATTCATTAATATTAATCATAAGAGGTATGAGTTACATATTATTTTAAATTACATAGGTACCTACACCAGCATGAACTTAAAAAAACATAAAAATAATTAAGTCTATTTTCCTTAAGACAAAATTGTATACCACATTTACAACTTTATTGTTAAGTGATAAAATTGTAACGATGTATACAAAGCTAACTTAATAATTAGAATAGAATAACTATCAGCAATTTACAGTGCAACTATACCATAAAAGCTACAAAAGACATTGAAAAGGTATTATTATTATCATAGTTCGGAGGTGGTAAGGTCTTCACAGCCAAATATCACTGAACCATTAATTTGATCTAATATGATCACCATACAAGTAAAACTAGTAGAAACTATTTTTTCTTATATTATTATATTATATTATATTGGTATATTTCAAATATACATATACATATATATATTATATTTCAAATATACATATGTATATTTGAAATATACCAATATTTCAGGCCCTTCACAGGTCCTATGGTCACAACTGACTGTCAGCCCAACCGCAGTAAGCAATTAATCAAGTTTACTCACCAATGGAAGTTCAGTTTTCTTCAAAACTTGTAAAAATTTATTTATGTTGTCAGTATGTTTAAACTGAAGGCCCACTGCCTGTAAACAATAAATTGTATCTCTTAATAATACAATACAGTGAGGTTGCAGCAGTTCAGCATTTATATACTTAGTTTTGTTTACAATTTGCTGTCTAACCATACTTCTACTGCTAGCCTACATCTTTTTAATTTTATATGTTGCTACAGTTGGTAAATTAATTGCAGCAAAAAGTAGAAGTAAATTAAAACATTTTCATTACAAGATATGCTCTGGTTGCACCCCCTTTTCCAACTCTAAATTTCTATCCTAAAGTTGCCTAGAAGAAATTGCTACTTAGCAATATAAGGCCGCCTGTTGTACATTGACTTACTCTGTGATGGTTATATTACTGTTATGTGTTGTCATTGTAATTTTAATATGCAATAAAAAATATTTCATTCATTCATTTCATTCAAGTGATTAATGAGTATCATTTTTTTGTCTCTTGGAGGGCAGGCTCGAAACAGGTCAATAATTAGTAATCCCAAAATCATAAAGTCTAGTCACCTTGTAACGTCTCTGGTCAATATCGTAGATTTTATTCAAGTTAAGCAAATCAGGTGCAATGAAATGGCCGAGCTTGGCAAGATAGACTCCATTTCGTAGACTTTCCTCAAACTCCGTAGCGTGAGGAAGTTTCTCTTTAATGCATGCTTCCATCCAAGTTTTGGCTTCCTCCAGTCGACATAAGTACTCATACGCTATTGTCCTTTGTCTTATTAAATCCATTTCCTGTCCCGTCTTGCGAACAAGTGAATCACCTGTAAAACAGATTAAAAAGCAATACAATATTTTTTTATAACCTGTCGAAGTTGATTTGATACTAGGAACGCGCTTTCTCTCATTTCAATCGCAATTGAGGGACTGCGGCAAATAAAGAACAAAATTTAAGATAACTTCTGCGGATTGCGCTAGAAAGGTAGCGGAGATTAGCCAGTAAAGGTAAGTACCTATACTAGACAGTAGGTAACAGTTCTCTAAGGGTAACTACTACTTTCAAATTAACAACGTGGTATTATAATGGTTAATACAATAATTTAAGTTAATATAATATAATGGTTATTACGGTGAACACTGAACTTACAGTCGTCAATTTTCCCAATACGTATGTCTTCATCATCGTGACCCATGATGGGGAACATTGTGGACACCAACACTGATGTTTTTTTACTCGTTATCTTAGCCATCTTCCATTCAAACCATTAACATGTTTAACCATTTAAATTAAAATAAGTACATACGCACCACACACTTTAAAATAATGAAACAAAACCAAAACATGCAACAAAACATAGGTACACGACAGTTATTTTGAAATGTTTGTTTTTTCTTGTATCTATAATGGCTACAGAACGCTACGTTAACTTGATTCCAAGGTAAGAAAATACTATATAAGCTTAAAATTTGTCGAGCATTACATTACAAACTACCTCCCTCACCGGCGAGCATTCGCCTGTAATGTAACATTTATGATTCATTTTTGAGCATTACATTATTGAATTACGAACTGCCTCTTTCACCAACGAGCATTCGCCTCTAGTGTACTACATAGAGTACATCAAGTTTAACACTTTGGACTTTGGACCGTTCTTGTTGCAAAATGAAGCCAATGAAGAATTTAATTGAAGCCTTTAGTGTCAAGCTTGATGTGCTCTTGACCCTGTACTAACCAAGTAGATTTCACCAGAGATGTGCGAAGTAGCAAGGCGTGCGTCTGTTAGAAAAGTCATATTTGAGTCTACTAATTACTAGATTCTATTATAAGGATGCTAAACATCTTTGAAATTCAAAAGCATAATTTTAGTAAACCTAATTTATTTCTTTTTGAGGGTAGTACAAAATGAAATGAACCTAGTAAAAATCTGCGAACTAATTTTAAAAACAAAAATTAAAAGCAGTATGACTCAGTTCTTATTTATAAAGTTGGTATAAAACAATAATGTTTGTAATTTAGTTGTAGTAAAAAAATATTTTGAGAATAACAAGATAAACAAAGTAAAAGTAATAGCACTTCTAAAAGGATGGATTTAACGTATTAGAAATTATAGCTGTGCTAATAAAAAGAAATTGATTTAAATGGACAAGTTACAACAACAAGTACTTATAACGAATTGCAAAACTAATCACACATTTAGGTACGTACCTACATAAACTATGTCAAAGCGTAGTAACGATAATTTACATTATATTCATATTAGAGACAATACATATATTTACACAACACAATTAGAATGTAGCAATGGAACAAGTTACAAAGTAGGTAGGTACTTAACTTTAGTTGGTTCTCGGTTCGGCACTTTATCTGTCTCCTCCAGCTTTACATTTCTTTTTATACCCTTCAACTTCTTTTGAAATTCATTCATACATACATACTATTTGGACCAATCACAAAATAATTATTGTTTACATTTGTACAGTGCTGAAGAGAATGAAAGCTTTTACCTAATGATATTATACTGCTTTTACCTAACAAGTTGTTGAAACATATTTTAAGAACTATAACAAATATAGGAACCTCATAGTTGTCTTAATTAAGCAAATATCATCAAATTTATACACCATATTATCGGGTGCGTTAACTTAATTCACCTGAATTAGTTCAATTTTAGTCAACTTAAATCACCTGGGTGCCGTTCGATCACAGAGCAGTATTGCTAGACTCACTTTGGTTGAGCACAAGTAGTAAATGTTATGAATTACAAAGGTCTAAAGTAACAAAGCATTTAATAAATATTATACAGTAGGTACTAAGAAGGTGTAAAGTAAAAACTTCAAGAATATTTTAATAATAATAATAATTTATTTATTTGTGAAAACACCGGTTATATAGAAGCTGACATGTACAAAATACGTATAGTTTCACTGTGTCCGGCCAAACAGCTCACAACTCAGCATGGGTTCGTTAGAAGACGTTCTGCGGTCTCAAATTTGGCTGTGTTTGCAAATTATTTACTAAATGAAATGGAAAATGGAGGTCAGGTTGACGTGGTCTACACTGACTTCGAAAAAGCTTTTGATCGTGTGGACCACGACATCCTCCTCCGCAAATTAGAGACATTAGGTATCCACGGAGACTTACTTCGTTGGGTGCGATCTTATTTGACCAATCGTTCTCAGGCTGTGGTCTTGGGAGGATTTAGGTCCGATTACTTTACAATTCCGTCCGGCGTCCCTCAGGGCTCACACCTTGGACCTCTGTTTTACAACGCCTATATTTATGATATTAATAATCACATAATTAACGCTAAGAACTTACTCTATGCCGACGACAAAAAGATTTACATGCAAGTCCGATCCGCAGCTGACTGTGAGAAATTACAACAAGATTTAAACAATTTGTACAATTATTATAGTAGTAACAGAATCACAGTCAACGCCAGTAAATGTCAATGTATAAGTTTTACTCGTAAAATAAATCCAATTGTATATCCGTACCATTTCAGTGGTACCGCTATTGAGAGGACCCACATTGTGCGGGACCTGGGTGTTTATTTTGATTCCAAAATGCTTATGTCTTATCATTATAACAGTATTACTAACAGGGCATATAGGAATTTGGGCTTTGTTTTACGAACTTGTCAATCGTTTAATTGTGCGACCACTTTAAAATTGTTGTATTCGGCATATGTCCGTAGCATATTGGACTATGCTAGTCCTATATGGTCACCACTCTATAGTGTTTATATTAATCAAATTGAACGAATTCAAAAGAGGTTCCTAAAGCATTTGAATAATAAATGTAGATTAACCGATTTTCGTTCACCTTACGTTGATATCTGTCGCACATACAATTTGTTAAGTCTCCAGGAGCGTCGAGAGTTGTTGGATATGGGTCTTTTGTTTGATGTACTCAATGGTCGTTTGGATTGTCCAGATTTATTACAGCAAATAAGTTTTCGAGTGCCTGCCCGTCGTACCAGACATACGTCTCTTTTTCATGTACCATTTCACTTTACAAACTACGGCAAAAACTCTGTGCTCACAAGATTAGTTACTGGTTACAATAAATATTTCTGTGACGTTGATCCCTTTGTAGATAAAAAGCATTCTTTCCAGTCAAGCATTAAAGAATTAATTTTCAAACGCGATGCGTAGGTTCACGTAATTTATTTTATTTTGCTCATTTATTTATTTATTCATTTCTTTTATAGTTATAGTTTGATATTTTTATAATTTTAGAAGTATTTATGATTTATGATTTAGTGTTAAGTTGTATTCATATGTAGGTATAGTGTATAATACTTATTAATATTAGGTTTTATTGTGTATAGTAAGTATTGTTTGTATGTAAGTGTACATATTTAGTTTACTTAGTTTGTTTCACAATTATATGTATGTATATAATCTGTATAATTATTTATCACGCTTATAGACACCCCGTGCTCTGTTTTTATTTTAATGTATAAATCGAGGATAACTGTTACTGGCTTTGTAGTATGTAATTAATTTTTTGTAACCTATCATTATTGCTGTTGTTATCCCAAATAAATAAATAAATAAATAAACAGTAGCCATACAAATATTGAGGGTATATATACATTCACTCACATGCACTTCGACAGACCAAACCTGGTGTAACCATGGTGTAACCTTAGAAGGTGTAACATGGATTTAATAAGTCGGTACGAATTTAAACGGGATGATAGTTTCATGGATCGATTTAAATGGTAATTAGATGTCAAAATAATATTGTAATATGAATAACGTCAATAACGTCCAATGTCAAAAATTAGACAATGAATTTAGGGATTTATCATTTAAAAATTCAGACACTGTATTTTTGTAAGTCAATGCACTGTATTTTTATTATTTAACTACTATTTAACTACATTATTATTAGTCAATACCTTGTTGAATTGTTTTTTAAATAGCATAACGTTTTTCTCAGATCTTAGTGCTTCCGGTAAATTGTTGTAAATTTTTGGCGCCATTACAAAAATACTTTTCTGCATGAAGGTAGTTTTACAGGCTTTCAAACAAAGTTGGTATTATTTTGTTTTGTATCGTGTCATTTTGTTTTGTGTCATATTTGTATGTCCGAATATACACGGCAGTTTCGTAGATATAAATTGAAGGAACAGTCAGTAGTCGAAGACCTTTAAAATATGGTTTGCATCTCTTTAATCGACAAATTGTTCTGACACATCTTTTTTGTGCCTTAAGAACCGAGTTCACATTAGTTGCATTGCCCTAGAATATTATACCGTATCTTAATATGGACGAAACATAGCCATGGTATGCTTGAATAACCGAGTCTCATATGCAACTTTATATGCATAAGTGTTGAGTTTAGTGTAAATACTCTCTAATTGTGCTTTCCAGTTAATTTTGTCATCTGTATACCTAGGAACTTTGTTATATTTGTGTCTCCGATGTGTGTCCCTTTGTACTCTACGTTTATCTTACTTGCTATTTTTCTCATGACTTTTGTTTTTCTAAGTTGATTTTTAAATTATTATCTTCAGGCCATTCTATTAATGTTTTAATTTAAACTTGTATTTATTTCGCTTTCTTTAATATATGTCATTGTACAATCGTCCGCATAGAGCACCATTGAATGATGGGATGCTTTAGGCATGTCAATAATATATATTAAGAAGAGCAATGGCCTCAAAATACTACCTTGCGGTATAGTGTTACTTTATATAGTGTTACTTTAGTATCAGAGTTATATTCCATTTCCGTTCTTGTTCGAATGTTGATTCTACTAATTATGGTCAACTGAGTCCATCCTTTTAAATATGATTTTATAATTTTATGTATGTTACCTCTTACACCATATGAATAAAGTTTATCATGTAAAATGTCATGGTCTACGTAGTCAAAAGCTTTTGTCATATCCATATATATATATATATGTATATATATATAGTAAACCGTTATCCATTTTTGCACGTATTTTCTCTAAGAAGTCATAAATAGCTAAATTAATTGAACTGTTTTTTCTAAAACCTTTTTGTTCTTTACAAAAAAAATCATTTGCCTCAAAGTAACCATATAAATTCTCATAAATAATTTTCTCAAACATAGGAATGAAACTATTTTTCCGGATTTAAATCGCGTATATTTGTTTTTTCAAACAAACCGACGTTTCGGGCCCTTTACAGGTCCCATGGTCACGGTTGACTGTTTTCTCAAACACTTA